GGGGGAGGTGGTAACAATTATCTTCTTCCGTTTCCATCACCTTGTCTGCGACGGCGTCGCTGCTAGGTATTTATAAATTATTTACATATCGGGACCTACACTATACTACCTTACAAAAAATGTGTCTACAGATTTCGAGCCCTATATTTACATAAAAATTATTGCTTGAAATTATATCAAGAATTATTAGTACCTTACGAATTTTTTTAGCTTCCTCCTGCAACGCATGTGGGGTGATGAGAGTCCTAGTCCAGCCGTCAAACCAGCGACTAGACCAAAAAGGTCGATCTGGCAGAAAGCGAAATATCTCAATCTTTTCCCGTTGCAGGTGAGGTAGTGTGTAATTAATTAAATCTGGTAAGACTTCCATGGTGAAGTTCAAAGCTGTTCATGGAATCGAGCGTTCCTACTGGAAGTGTGCGCAATATAAGATTACCGAAGACTTTAAGGGAAGTTTCCTTGATAAATTCATTTTTAGTCTAATTTGAACTGAGTATATTTTGCACAATTTGGTGTAAGGGAGAAGCTTAGATTCAGTCGACTTAAATTAAACATCTACTAAACTTCATGTCGTAAATTGCTCTCTTAATTATTAAGCGAAGCGAAGCATGAAAGCTATTGAACTCGTCGTGTCCGTCTGTATGTGTGTTCCAACAATATAAGCCTCAATTGGCGCAATTTTACTCCTAATACTGCTTTGAGCGCCATTGTTGAATAATATTCGAAGACATTTTTTAAATAACTTGCTGCACCCAAAAAGGACAAATGCATCCAAAATGGGTCAACAGTACGGAGAAATCGGCAAATATTTTTGTTAAAATTTTGGCCTATTGGAACCAACTCACGAAGGTCAGGTGTCAAAATTCTTCATCAATTTTACCCGTTCCTTCTGCCCCGTTTGTGCAAAAAAGTCAAAATTGTGACAGAATTATGTATCAATTTAGTTCGTTTCTTTGGCACCTTTGGTACATAAAAGATAGTCGGGAGAAATAGAAACACAATTTTGCACCAATGATGCAAAACTAGGCTGGACATGCGATTCACATAATTTAGATTCATTTGTACCATCAGTGCAGGATAATTGGGTAAAATATAAAACAATATTGACTGACTTGCATCAATAGTGCACAAAAATAGAACTTTGTTATAGGAGGCTACGGGCGAGCTATTTCTAACGCATGCTAGATAAATACGTTTATTAGGTTGGGTCGAAAAAATTTTTGGTTGCGTAAATTAACAGTTGTGCATTTGATTTGTTTTGCTTTTATTATCTTTTCTGTTATAGTTTTTTAGTCTTTTATAAAATGAAGCAAACAAATAATTCCTAATTTGAGTAGAATTTAAAGACATTACTATGGGACTCAAGTGACATTCCGAAAGATTCGCAAAACTCTGACAATGATTCGGATAGATGGGACGGATGAAAAATCTGATACCTGAAGCTAATGTTTTGATTTAATTTAATGTATATATATAACCATAACTCAGCACAACCATTGTTGTTCCACTATAGAAGGAAACTGAAGAATCCTTATAAGAGAGGACTTGGTCCGTAGATGGGTGCGATTCCATTTGAGATGGGAATTTTGAACGCTTTTTCTGTACAATGTCTAAACGAGTCTGAATAGAAGACAATCCAGTCCTTCACATGTTAACATTAATAAGGTGACATGACATCTTTTGCACATCAGATCCGACGCGGTCACAATTTTTCTGATTGTCTGCATAGCACGGCGAATTGCACTCGATCTTTTGCATTCTGAAACAACGCTAATATTCTTCCTGACACCACATTGTGAACTGCAAATGGAACACGCGTATCATTCATTTAGATTTTGTGGTAAAAGTGGACAATTCTTATTTGAATTAATTTTATTATTATTGCACATTGATCATTTCACACTATTATTTCATATCATATTTTTCATCATCATCATCGTTCAAAATTTACAATATTCATATAGTGATAATTACCTCACATCATATCGCCCCTACTATTTATGACAAAATTATTTATGGCGCTTATGATCTTCACTTCTCGTGGTGTTGACCAATGCGAGCATTGGACATTATCGCTGCCCATTCATGCATAGCTATGGTACCGAATTTGATTTACCAATGAAACGGTACCGTTGTGCCTGAAATTAAAGTTGCCCGACTGAATCACACTTAGCTTAATTAAAATTTTAATAATTAATTCCTCTGAAGTGTATTGTTGTAGTGCCTACAGACACAATTCATTGTGCAGGCACATGATCCACACATTAATTGGAGTTGATGGACTAATTCAAATGGTAACATGTATTTCATAGTTAATCCCATTCTAAATAAGCCTATTCAGAATTCGAAATTACATATCGGCTAAAAGCGACAATTATTTTGAGGAAGCCAACCGTGGATATTCACATCACCAATAAATTAACAACTTGGTCAACACAAAGTTTCCAAATGACGAACGAGGTCAATCGATCGAAGAAACATCCCCCACCCATCGACAGCTTTAATGGGGTACACGATTTTAAATACTTGTTCAACCATTTACCATTCCTTTTCCTTTGGGCCCTCTTCACAAATTCCACAGAGGCCAAGTACGGTCGACACAACGACTTGAACATGACATGAATCACGACAAAGAAGTCAATTGCTAGGGCCATAAAGAACATTGCGACCGCCAAGGGTAACTCGTGAATCGAACTAATTACCAAAAACAGCGATGTTATTTCTGCCAACATCACGCCACCAATGATCATGGACATGAACGGCTTTCTCAGCACGGATTCCTGCAGGTTCGACACGGATTGAACAATTCGATATTTTATTGCCGCTGAGTACACGGACGCACAGTTTTCCAATTCCCTAATACAGTCGAAATAAAATAAGTTGGACTCATTACAATTTTGATACGTGGATAAACATTACATTTCAACCGCATTAATCCACATTTCCTCCACAACAACTGGGTAAACGACCAATCCGACTAACCCAATGGATACCGCGATTATGAGGCTCGACCACACTGTAAGGCCTTCATAGAAGGCAATCGCGATTTTCAATTGCATCGATGCACCACCCCCACTAGTCCACGAGTTGTTGCAATCGAGGAAAGTCATGCTTGCAAAGGGCGGCATGCATGGTCGCACTTAAATACGTTCAAAATTTTGATTTGAAGCCAGATTGAAAACTGATTTTTCTCGACTACTTACCCAGTGCGAGGAGACCGAGTGCGACCGATACCATAAATCCGGAGTAGATGAGGATGTCACAAACCAGGATTGGTTGTACCCTGACATGAATTCGATACTTTCTTCCCGACATCGCCTCTAATTCGAACGAGCGTTCGACAAGCTCCTTCGTCTCATCCTGCCTCCAAGCCAGGATGCATTTTGCGGCAAAGACGAAACCGAAGCAGACCAGGAAGGAAAGAACCGTGACGGATTTCCACAATGGGTTTTCACCCTGGGCGGAAAACCACTCGCAGAATGCAATAATGTGAAACAATTCGTTCACCAGGGAGAGAGTGAAGAGGGCAAGGTGAATCCGGGATTGGGAGCAGGTGGAATTCTTCCCAGATTTTCGTTAAATTACGGGAAAAGTTTGAAGAATCGAGGCGATCGAGAGGGCCAGGGTGAAATGTGGGGTGTAGGAAGGGGGGAGAAGGGAGGAGAGTGGTCTCATCTTCCGCCATGTTTTCCACGTCATGATGCAGAATTCCGCTCGACAGTTCCGGTCAGACTGGCTTCGTTTCGAGGTATTTCATGAATTTAAGACGTATACAAGTTTCTCCAATAATTCGACATGTTTTCCAGGCTGAGGTGGCAGATTTATTCAGGACGTCTTATTATGTTGTATGCAGATCATGATGCTGATACAGAGGATCTAATTATATAAATGTCGTGTAAATAAATGCCTAGCTCATTCAGACTTTGTGCCAATTATTTCTTGGCAAAATTAAAACCCCAGGGCATCTTTTGTCTACATAAGACTGTCCGTCCGGCTGTCCCTCTCTTCCGAAAAGATAAGGAATAACATCACTAATTAAACCTTTGACATGGATTGACGTCGTGTATCCTTCAACTTTTAGATTCATGCCTGTAGCTTCTTCCCTCCAAAGGGTAGTATTAATAAGTATTTATTTGCCATGTGTAGCCTAGAATTACTTTATTTATGAGGATTTGTTGCCCGAAAGAAATAACAAGGGCTAAGTCTTGTAATTAAACAGTGACTTGTAATTTCTTAAATTAGATACTTGTTTGAATTAATGTCATGCTGAATTCCAAATGGGTACTGTGAGGCATGTCGTACATAATTGCGGTGAATTAGAAGTTTTCATTTATAACGAAAGTGATTCTCAATCACTATTCAATCTACATAGTTTAATTTCTCATTAAAATGGACGATATATTTATAAATTTGTCTACGCATGAATTGCGATCGAATATTTATGTACAACTCATGTCTTCCGTACAGTTTTAAAACGAATACGAAATACGAATACGAAAACGAATACGAAACGAAAGTCAATAGCAAATCTGGTCCTCTTTTGGCCCCCCAAAGCTGCACAATCCGCGGGGGCAAGTAGAGCGTTCACACAATACATCAGTATGCCTGACAAACTTCTCCCGTCAACGTCTCCTGTTCCGCGGCCATTGCGCCTTAATCAAAATCTCTACTCTATTTTTTGCCCTCAAAATCCTACCCGTTTTGTCTACCTACACTTAAGTCAAGGCCAGGTTGCACTTATTCCCCCTTTATTTTGCATCCCCGCTGATCCAAATGGGGACATCGGGATAATTCCCCCACAGAAGTAATTAATCCTCCCATCTTAACAAACCCTCCCCCGGCTATGCTATAATGTTAAGGAACCCAAATGCCCCCCCTTTTTTCGCGCCCTATATCCAGGCTCACCCTAAGGGTTTTTAGCGGTACTCAAATACTTCAAAAACTCTTACAAACCCAAAATATTTTCTACACAAACAGCCCAACACGTATCAAAACGGAGCGATGGGTCCAACTCAATTTATTTTAAGCAAAGCGGCAACATTCAAAAAATACAGGATACAAATATCCCCGTATTTCACACCAAATCCAAAAATTCCATAATGCTCTTCCTCAAAACAGCGGTACAAAATATAATAATGCACAACTAAAATCTTAACTGAACCAGAAATAATTTCCTCTCGTCAGAAATTTATTAAAATTTCAAATAAATACAAACACCCCCAAAAATACTAACTATCCATGAACGAACACTTAAATCTCAGACAGGGATTCGGCGTCGGGTAGTACGTCTCCTCCCTCGTCGTCGTGGGGGAAGTCACCCTGTAAAAGGCGGGCCGATTCGTGGTCACCTTCTTCTCCACGCCAGGATTTGTCACGCCGTCCGCCAAATCGTCCTTCATTCCCGCCCAGTCCGTCGTCATAGTGACGTCGTCCTCCGTCGTCGTTCTCGGTTTCAGCGTCGTCGTCGTAATTGGCGGGTCTGGCGGCGGGTTGAACCAACCTTCCAGATCGGGCGGGATTTCTGGAAGGTCACCCTGACTCGCGCCCTTTTTGCCGGGTGCCCCTTTACCGTTAATCTTGCCGAGGGCATACTTCGCCAAATTCTTCCTCTTCCCGCCCTTCTTGTACCGCTGGATGGCGGCCCGCCCCATTTCCCCGGGCAGCGGAACCACCCCGGCGGAGGTCGAATTTCCCCGCAGTTTTAGCGACTCCCTGAACAGGAATACGGGCAGCGGTTCTAGTCGGAACCCTTGACAGGCGAGGCGTTGAAGGCACTGCTGCTGCCACTGTGGCGTCGTACTGGCGGGAATATCGGCCTCACCAGATTTTAGCGGGGTTGCCGCTGTCGTAACGTTATTATCGGTGGAATTTGCTGTCCCATTTCGACCCAGCCCTGCAGTGGGGGGAGGATTGAACAAGCGGTGAATTAAGAGGAGACTCCTCCTCTGGCGGGAACTTGTGGCGGGGTGGTCATTCAAACTTCGCCCGTAGCTCATCACCCCGACCGGGATGGCGAGCAGGGCTAGCGACTTGGCCAGGAGGAGGTTCGAGTTGAGGAGCTCGAACGGCAAAAGTGCCGCCGTCAGGAGGGGCACGATCAGACCGGACGAACCCATTACGGCGATCAGAGTCCCGAATGCCTTCGCGCGTTGAAAATCTGCAACAAATTTACAATTTTAAAATCCCGCCAAAATTCTTGCAAAACTAGGAAATTCCATAATTTCTTATCAATATTTCCCAAAATCTTCCCTCACCATCAAACTCCTGATCTTTCACCGTCTGCTGAATCATCGGGCCCGGTGGGGGCGGCCGCCTCCCAAAAATCTTATCTTTCCCCGCCTTCCTCCTCACTTTGTACTCATCCCCGAAATAAATTTCTGGCCCCTTATGCAAAAAATTTATTAAACTTTCATCCCCCCACTTTTTATTTTCTCCCCAAAAATCACCCCGCCTTGGGGTGTCAAACACCGCAAAATTCGAACAAAGTGACACCGCCGGACTCAAAGTTTGCGTCGCCATGGTCGCCATTCGCCAAACTGCACGGCACAATTGGAAATCCACCCCTTTTATCGGCTCAATCCCTGACCTGAGAGTGGCACACTTTAAATCAAACTCGAAAAAATGACACCATTTCATCCATCCGAGAATGCAGTCGCAACTCGGTAGGGGCCGTGCACATGGAACGTCACCACTTTTTCCCACAAGTCGACCCGAGTTTAGTTATTCGTAACTTGGAACATTTAGAAAATACCTGGAGCGAAGGACTAGGGTAAATAAGGGTCGATTTTGGGCCCCCCGGTTTTATTCTTTTATTCTGACGGGTATTATGGGAGGATAATAAATCAATAAGGGGAAGTTGAAAAAAATTACCCCCAACCACTTTTTTCGGTCCAAAATTGAAATCGGCGAAAGCCCATTTTTTCGAGCTTCGGCGGGTTATATCTTCACAACCGATTGAAATACCTTAAACTTCCCAATAGAAAAAAATGAAGGTACTTATCTGGAGTATCTAAAAAATATCACTTCAACTCGAGGAAGTATACCGAACGAAAATTATCAAGTTAAATGTCTAAATATTCCCGAAAAAAAGCTAGAAATTTTCATGTTTTTATGATTTTACTGTATCATGTATGTCGATTTTGCGTCGTTTATTGACCATATTTAATAGCTACGATATGTACACGTAACATATCAAAAAATTAGGGGTGGGGTGTCTCATAGTTCTTTTTCTAAAAATCGCCGAAGTTCGTAAAATAACAATAAAAAATATTCAATAAGTTAGTATTTTGATATTTTGAGCAGTAATAGAATCAGCAAATCTTTATCAGACCATGTTCAAATTGTAGCCTAACATGTTGTAGAGACATCCTAAGAAAAATAGTGGGTGGGGTGTGTCACCGATTTTTTGCTAAAAATCGTCGAAGATCGAAATACATGCTTCTAACCATAAAATATGCTTTAAATATAACTTAATTGTCTTCCTATAACTCCTTGTCATGTTAAGCTTGCTTTTAGTTTCACAGCAATGCAGCTGGATGCTTATTGCATGTAAATAAATGAAACGAAGTGCAATAAACTGTTAACTAAACGGCTAAAAAGGTCACGAAGGTGAATATTTAAGGTTAGAAGTAAATTTCTTAATCTTCGACGATTTTTAGCAAAAAATCGGTGACACACCCCACCCACTATTTTTCTTAGGATGTCTCTACAACATGTTAGGCTACAATTTGAACATGGTCTGATAAAGATTTGCTGATTCTATTACTGCTCAAAATATCAAAATACTAACTTATTGAATATTTTTTATTGTTATTTTACGAACTTCGGCGATTTTTAGAAAAAGAACTATGAGACACCCCACCCCTAATTTTTTGATATGTTACGTGTACATATCGTAGCTATTAAATATGGTCAATAAACGACGCAAAATCGACATACATGATACAGTAAAATCATAAAAACATGAAAATTTCTAGCTTTTTTTCGGGAATATTTAGACATTTAACTTGATAATTTTCGTTCGGTATACTTCCTCGAGTTGAAGTGATATTTTTTAGATACTCCAGATAAGTACCTTCATTTTTTTCTATTGGGAAGTTTAAGGTATTTCAATCGGTTGTGAAGATATAACCCGCCGAAGCTCGAAAAAATGGGCTTTCGCCGATTTCAATTTTGGACCGAAAAAAGTGGTTGGGGGTAATTTTTTTCAACTTTCCCTTATTGATTTATTATCCTCCCATAATACCCGTCAGAATAAAAGAATAAAACCGGGGGGCCCAAAATCGACCCTTATTTACCCTAGTCCTTTCAATTTTATCCTGTAATCGATGCAATACAAGTTTTCCCGCGCAAAATCTTTCCCCGTCACATGTGAGCGTCCCCTGGCCAGAGTCAATATTTGCGTAATGACTCCTCATTTCAGTTCGAGTGCTCAATCTCGTCGAGTAAGAGTGGTGCATCGACCACTTGACCAAGTCCAAGCTACTCTTGACCACGAATACTTCGTGCCTCGTCACCCCTCAAGACCACTCCAATCTCGGTCCACTTTCTCTCGAAAAAATCATCAATATTTTTTCTCTTCGTCAAAATGTTCTCCACAATTTTCGAAATCCTAAATATTATGGCGGGAATCCATACCTTTACCCAGCCTTTTGGCCAATGCAAAAGCGATTCAACCAAAAATACGTGCAAAATTCCCCAAATATTTTGATAAGACCTTACCGATAAGGTCCACTTACTACCCTCCTTTAATTCCGCTTATCTTCAAAAAAATGCCATTTTTCACATGGAATTTACCACAACTCACCAAACAAAATACAGACATGGAAAATATTCAAACTTTTGCGCCAACCCTTGCAAAACCAGCCCCATATCAGGATTATGCCCATCTCATCCCTCACTGGCCCAAGCTATACATAGATCTGTCCTAAATTGCTACCCATTCCAGCCCGAAAAAAAATTCATTTTGCAAAAAAATGACACCATGCATGGCCAAACATTTCCGTGGCGCAAGGGGCCTCACACGAATAACGTGCCATTATTATCTTTCCCGAAATTCACACCAACCCAGATTGTAGCCTATCCCTCCCGCCGAACCATGAGGATATTGTCCCGCCAAAATAATTTTTAAGCTTCCCATCCCTCCCATGCTATCAAGCCCCCTTCCCTATCCTACAATGTTACGGCTCAAAAATACCTACAAAACTTGTGCAAGCCCGCAACCTATTTTTTTAGAAATCTCTCCCCTCCCTTTGAAGTCACACCTTAAAAATTTCCCCAAAACTACCAGAACGCCCCCACAAATCACGCCAAAAGCGAACCTCTCCACGTAAAAATTCGCAAAAACAGGTTCTAAATATCTCCACAAATCTCAATGCATACAAAATATTACAAGATACCCTTTGCACAATAAAATAACCAATTTCCACCCGTCCAAAGTCCATGTAGAATGCATGCCTTGCACAAATATCTCCACGGAAAGTCACACTCTTCCCGATATATTCCAGCAGATTTATTCCAAAGTCCAATTCAAAGACAAATTCGCCACTAAATTCCAGAGGAGAATCTCGTAAAAAATTGCAGTCCTGACATCACCCCTCTCAGAACTGGTTTTCCAATTACATAATTCCAAACCTTTCCCAGACTGTGCGACGCCACTTCAAAAATTAACGTAGATCTTTAAATATCCAAAAAAACTTTAAATAAAATAAACAAAAAAATATTCATCTCCCCACGCAATCCAAAATTCGAATATCCCACATAAAACAGAAACAGGTATTCCCCTGAAAAAAAATATATTCCTGCTATTTATTCCCAATCACAAAATTAATCTCCACATTTTCCAACCTCCCCGAGGTAAATGTTTCTCATAAGTAAATACGCAGCATTTAACTCGCTCACCGTGGGGGCCGTTCAGAAAAGATGTCAGAAATTGTCCATCCTGTCGTGTCCTCTATCTCCTTAAAAATCCACATTCTCCACGCACAGCCCCCAATCCAGACCTCGTAGAAAATCCACTACAGATACAGAGCTACATATTCTCCCCTACTCCTCGTCCTCCAGTCAGTGTGAGCCAGAACTCCGTCCAGACCAGGGCTGCCTTTTACACGAAATATGACAAACTTTAGTGCCAAGTTCGCATTTTTTTAATTAATATTTACCACAAACTATTTTCTTATCGTGATCGTGAGTTAACATATTTTAAAATACAAATATTCCCAAACTTCACAAATTTTCGTCTCCCTGGAAAAACAAAACTTTTCGCAGAAATTTTCTAAAATCAGAGACTTTTCCGGTAAGGATTTTTAAATTGAATTCCTCTCCAACAATTAAACTCGTAAATATCCGCAAATTACTGAAGGGATTACGCGATTTTTAAGCATTTCCCGATTTGTGCGAATTTACAAAAAATCCAAACAGTTTTTTTCATGTCCTCTGTTTACCAGGATGTCCAGATTTTACTGGATTTATGCAGTGACGCAAATTCATTCATTTTTACGCAATAATTCCCCTCGCATGCAAAATATTTATTTATTTATTTATGTAACTTTCTTATTGAAGACATTTACGTCGTGTTTTTGATAACTTATCATAAAATTCACCCATTTAAAATTCTCTAATTATTTAGAAACCTATCAAAACCTAGTGCAAATTATATTCCATACTTGCAAATTCCAAATGTCCAAACTCATCGTCAACATCAACCTTGACAAGAAAATGGACAAATTTTCCCCTGAATTCGCTGAATTTTCACAACTATCCATCCCCCCCATTCAATTCGCACATTAGCAAATCCTTGCAAATATCTATTAATAATCCCCCCAGCCAATTCCTGCCCAATTTCTCAGCATACTTATCAATTTGCAAATTTCAACCCACTCAAATGAAAAGAGACAAAAAATTCGCAAACCTAATTTCGCCCTGACCTCTCAACCATCGCAATAAGGAACCAATCTCCAACTTTATCCACCAAACCTGCATTTCTTCCTAAATAAAATTGCAAACTTGCAAATTTACTAAATCACTTTTGCATTCCAGAAAATCCTTTTCTGTAAATAAGTCTGCATCCTGACCCTGAGCGTAAATTGAATGCATCGCGGCTCAACCTTGACACTGTGGCATCAATCCTCCTCCTGCCCATTCATTCCTCGCCACCTTAATCCTGCCCAGTCGCCGCGCAAGTGTGAGGACAATTCCCGCCAGAAATTAAAAACCCCTCAATTTTAAGATGCTCCTCCCCTCTCGCCCTAAAATGTTAATGTCCCCCTACTTCCCCAGCCACTGGTCCTAGACGGCAGGTACGTTCGGGGAAAATGAGACAATACCCCGGGATAACCACCCCCCCCCCCCAATTTTCAAATTTTCCCCCACAAATTTGCACACCTCGCCAAATTTACACCATATTTACCCACATCAGATCTTCCCCTCGTCAAAAAAAGTGTGCCAAATGTCGCCCTTATCTATCTCCCAGATTGCCACACTGACTTACTTATTCTCAAAAAATGTCTGCAAACTGCCCCTCCTCCATAATCTATGTCCAAACATCACACCATCCTACCAGAAATGTAAACAGAGTCGTAAAAAAAAGTAGTTTGCGACGCACCACGAGTTGCAAAATCAGCCTAACCCCAGTCTGGCATGTGTGGAGACTGAATATTTCGCAAACTTGGCTCGGAATTGGGACGGTATTTCTTTCCATTGGTCCAAATTGGGGGCCGGGTCGGGCATTAAATTTCTTTGTCACACCACCAACTTTTTTTCCGCGTGCCAATTCTATTCGCAAAATATTTACAAACTGCCGAACTAAAAATAGTCAAATGCCCATCAATCAGGACAACCTTGTACATTTTTTGCACAACAATTTGCCAATGATCGCAAATAGAAACTTTTGCCATTTGCATTTTTAGTGTAAATTTTTGCACACTAGAATTCCTGGTTGGCAAATTAATCAGCAAAGTCAAGTTCTTCTCCTGATGAATATTTGCAATGCAAATTTTCCACATCGACCAGGTGTGCTGGGATGAATGTCGTGCAAAAAACTGACCTTCGATCCCAGGGTGGGTTGCGAATTAATTTTATATCGCGTACAGTACAAGCATGGAAAAATACTCGGCTAGAATTTTGCACAATTTATCCCACTCACAGTTCAACAATCTTATGTGCAAAATCTAGTGCAAAAAAATCATATCAATTATGTCATCCAGACCTAAGTGGTTTCTAACTCTGCCCGGTGTACAATTGGGCATGGCAGACTCTCCGCTGCCTTACGAGTCTCCATATCGCACAGTATTTTTTGCAATATTGCGAAAATATTAATTCCACTAACTTCTACATGCATACATATCGTCGAGCTAATTTTAAAATGAGCTAAGTGCACAATTTACTTAATTTTGAAATGTGCTAAGTCCACGTAAATTCAATGTTAAATAGTTGCACTTAGCTCATTTTAAAATTATGCAAAGAATTCACTTAGCTCATTTTAAAATTAGTATGACGATATCTGTAAATATTTCCTTTTTTCACACACCGCCGAAGATTTGGGGACTTTAACATTGTAGGAGGTCACCACAATCTGGTCACTCTTTGTAAATAATTCCTTTCAAAATATCCCTGGGGGCATTTCCCCCCACAGAATACGGTTCCTACGTTTTAACATCGTCCCTTTTCTCTGTTGCAATTAGCTCATTTTCGCCATGACGCAATCCTATTTTGCACCATTATCTCACAACCCCCTTTAAACCTTCGTCTCTCTTATTCTCATATTTTTTTAAATCAACGTCCCAGAAATGCTGTAAATTTTGCACACTGCATCAAAATTAGCCACATTATTTTTGCAAGCCTTCACAGAGTGCAAATTCCAAACTCCACTACATCAATCTTCTCTCTGCCAGAAATGAATGGGCGACTCGCAAAAAAATAATTTGCACTCTTTCTATTTACATAGTTTGCCAATGAATCTTATAGATAATTAAAGCGGATTAGGCCTCATTCATATGCTAATAAAAATTTGCACACTATTAAATCCTCCCCTAAAAAATCAAATCTTTATATTTAACTCTTTAATTAAAAAGTTGGTCGTTTCTAAACCGCAATAAATTACTCACTACTTACTTATGAGTAGGATTTGCCAAATATAAGATTTACTAATGGCAACAAGCTGCTGGACAGAATTCGCACTTTTATCTAATCCTCACCCTGAGAGCAAACTGCAACAACCCCAACCTTGACACTGTATCGTGAATTGAGACATCTCTAATTTCGACAATCCTGCCTGTGCAAATTATCCGTGCCAAATACACACCGTGTCTGCTTGATTTCGCAATATTTACTTACAAGTAGCTATTTAACCCAGAGCATCCATCTCAACTTAATTTTGCAAATTTTATCCATTTACATATTTACATAAGCCTTTCCAAAAAAAATTACTGCAAATAATTTGCAAAACTTGGCCAAAATTATGCACACACATGTCGCTGCGTCGTAATGCGTGTCAAGGAAAATCACTACGCACATTTGCAATAAAATTTCGCAACTTGCCACACACGTGTCTCCATCGTCCCCCGAAGCTGCGAGGGGAAAAGAAATCCTACCCCGTCGTAGAATACATATTCCTCACCTCCACGGCTGCACACTTGAAAGTTTTCCTTGCCACTCAACAAACTCACGCACTTTGAGTAGTTTCCTACTCAATGCGTGGGACAGGATAGTGGTCGATCCTTCTTTTTCACAAGCCAGAATTCCATTCTTTCTGGAAAAATACGCAGCTGCATCCCTTCCCCTGTAGACACAAGTGTGTCCACTGGCATGGAAAATTTTTCTCGTTTACTGTCCTCATTTCTCTTTTTGTTCCCTATTTCCAGACCATTTTGGACTGCACACCATCCAACCTACACAACCACCTGCCCTGAATAAATCTGGGGTGACATACATTCAAAAATCTGCACGTGCAAATATTCGCCGATCATGCTGGACTCGGAAAACTTCCCATTTGAGGAGAGCGACCGCGAAACCTCGACCTCTCCAGGGTCCTCATTTTCCGCGTCTTCCCCCCTTGCTGGCGGTATTTTGGGGGAGGAGGAGCTCAGAACTATCCCCAGCTATCGGATCAGAAGAAGGCGACCGAACTGCGTGAAAATTACGAAAATTGAGGTAATTTCAAAGCTAATATTTTACAAAATTCATTGCAAATTTTGCAATAATTTTTTTCCAACTTTTTTCCCAGATTACGGGACAGACCATGTTATGTTTCCCACAAGACCGGTCCTGGTTCCAGGGCGACATTTCCACCGACGACGACTCCTCCTACTCACTTTTCGGAAATATAATCGACCCTCCTCCCCACAGGATGGATCTCCAAGACAAGAACAACAATAAGGGGGAGGACGTCCTTGACGATTTCGACGACGCAGGATCTAGTCTCCTTTACAGAGTCGCACTCACCGACCACTTCACCGGCCTGTCCCACCGCCTCCCCCACCTCGGGGTGCACCTCGACATGAAAACCTCCACGACCATCTTCAACACTGGGGGTGCAGATGTCCAGGTACTTCAAAATTTATTCCTCACAAATGTATACCCCCATCTAACTCTAACCTTTGACCCAGGTCGATTTTACCGTCGAGGAGATCTGCCGCGGCCAGAAGGCGGACATCATGCTCCAGCGCCACTCCGGCTCCTCGTCCCTCGTCGGGAAGGGCTGCCTCGTCCTTTCCGGCCCCATCTCGCTCTCATTCCCGGACATGACGCCGAACCACACGCCCTCCTCCTCCCCCGCATCGCCTAACTGGAGCCTCTAAATATCCACGGCTAATTATCTATTACACCTAATTTACTTATCTCACTAACTAATTTCTTAAATTGTATCAAACACCTGGCCAAAAAATTACGAAATTAAGTAAGCAATACATATGCATTTTACGTCTTTTCAATTCTCCCTTTAAGCGTGTATTTACATAAGTTTTTCATTATTTACTTGGGAACACTTCACAGAAAATATAATAAGTAATTTAATCTAATCTAGTTTACTTTAAATAAACAGTCTTCCAAAGATATTTCTTTTTGTTTGTAAAAATATATAAATTATCTCAATAGATAAAACCTCGTGTTGCCTGTCTCATGGTGGATTTAGTAAAACTGTTATTTACCTAAATATAAACAAGCTTATTTATTTCCTTTCAACATTTCCGCAGTATTCTATCTCTCCAGACAGAAATCCACAAATCCATATACTAAATAGACAAGTAGTAACGAGGATATTTAAGAACCGTAAATATAGATTTATAGTTCATATAAATTAATTAGTAATATTTACAAACACTTTTTCTGTATATCTACCTATTTACATTTCTCTTATAGAAACTAATTAACTATTGGTTCACATCTGTGGCTAGAAACAACATCAATGTGCTCTTTTACTAACAATGAGAGAACCTCTCTTTTTATATTTAACAAGTAACCTTATGCTATGGACATTAGAATTAAAGACAATTTTTTTCTTCGAATTTTCCAGTTAGAAAACTCAGATTTTTCATTAGTCATTTTCATATTTTAATTTTCATCAATATCTATTGATCGAGTGGGGTATCGCTGGAAAGGTCGTAGTCGCTGCAACCCTACGATATCAAAAATACCAATCGACCTCATCCACCAGCAGCCACGCCCATTTCAAAAAATCTGGAATTTCCAGCTTAAATATATCCCAAATTTTCAATTTTTAACAGATTTCCAAAACTTAAAATGGTTTGGAAACCGCTGGTCATGGTGACCAATATATATTTCCATTTTTTTAAATTTTGACCTCGCTGACTTTGGCATTTCTGGTTACAAGGTCAAGCTGTCAGTAATTTTATTAATTTCTTAAATAACCAAATTCTTTGTAAGATTCATAATTTCGTAATTTTGTCAGTTAGTAGAAGTGTCCGTAGAAGTGAAATTATGTTGAAAATTAAAAATCACCTGTCTTAGGTGAGACACGTAATTAATAAATATTTCTACCAAAAAAACACCCTTAGGTGCGGAAATCAATATCGCGAATAATAAGAGAAGAAAACAAGTAATTTTATGGGATTAATTTATCGCATTCGCAATAACTATAATCATTATGCCAAGGTACTGACTCACCGTAATTATAGGGTGTAGTGATTTACATAATAGTGTAACTCCCGATGTACTTATTGTCAATCATAGCTCTCTTTACTCACAGACTTGCCAAATTTTTTTATCAGAATATTGTGTGATGTTTACTAAATTAATCTGATTGTGCCCTGGGAGGGGTGTGGACAAATTCCTCTTAACTTTAATATTTTACACTTTGTACTTGTTTTCCGGCTGAGTCTCGTTTTTCTCCATTTGGGGGTGTGGTTGACTGGTGGGCCACCAGTCAACCACACCAATCAGGAAAGCGCGGTAAACCACACCCACCTGGGGGTGTGGTTACTCATTTTTTAAGGTCCTTTTCGGATTGGCCTTTCTCTAGTGATAAATTATCTGTGTCGCATGATATACTTTTTTGAAATATACCAAAAGTCGCCGAAGGCCACACCCCAGCCACCCCCACTGGGTTTTTGATATACTGACTAGTTGGGTCTACTCCGGAAGCTTCTCCGAGCGAACCAGATTGTGAAATTATGAATTTTACAAAGAATTCGGTTGTTTAAAAAATTAATGAAATTTCTGACTACATAAATTTGTGACCTGAATTGCAGGTCAGCAAGGTCACAATTTAAAGAATTGGAAATATTTGTTGGTCAATATGATCAACGGTTTCCGAAACATTTTAAATTTTTAGAATCCGTTCACAATTGAGAATTTGGCACATATTTGAATTTATGTGGAAATTCCGACTTTTTTGAAATGGGCGTGGCTGCTGGTGGGTGTGGTCCGGAGTGGTAGTTTTGGTATCGCAGAGTTGCTACGATGAAGACCTTTCCAACGGTACCCCACTCGACGGGTTACCGAATAAATAAAAAATTTTGACCTGGGGGTGTGGTTCACGATGTGTGTGGTTAATCGTTATGATTTTTTATGTTAGTGGGGTTTAGTTGTCTATCTCAGGAGCTTTTAATGGACACCCCACATGACAATGTTTAGCTTCCAGACGCAAAGTTTGAATTTGGGGGGGTGGGGTTCCTAGTGGGTTTGCCCTAGGTCACTGATATCAAAAGGGTTGGACCCAGTATACCCTCAGCTTTCCAACGAGCCCTCAACCATGAAGATCTGACCTCTGTAGCCAAAGTAATGGGGGAGTGTTTAAAGGACGGGGGTATTTCTGACTCTTAGAACCTCAGCAACAGTATGTGCCAATTCCTTGAAGACTCCTGCCCCAAAAAGACAAAAATATGTGTAGAAAATGAATTATATAATTTCAGCCAGTCACCACACCACTTTATGCAGGTTCAACACCTTAATTAATGAAGGCAAATAGGTTTACGCGTAAAAAGAATGACGGAAAAATTAGCAAAAACGTGCAAAAATTTTATAACGAAAAGTATCGAACTCGTAACGTCCTCCCTTTTTAGCTTGCTGTTAGACCCTAGAGCTACAAGGACGTTGTTACGTTCTGTACTGATTTTATTCTATTTTACTTTCACTTTTACTTTTTACTTTTTACTTTTACATTTTACTTTAAGTGTGGGGAAGTTTGTCGGGGTAAAGTGGCAATTTTGGAGAAGACGTTGTTGCAAAATGTAAAGTGGGTAATTTTTTAGTTTTGCGAATTTTTGGCAAATTTTAAGAAGATTAAGAAAATTTTGAAAAATTGGTACGTAAGGTTGGCAAATTTTTAGTAAAGAGAATTTTTCAAAATTACGTTGTCTGGGTATTTTTTAGGGAGAAAAATTTAGTAATTTTTTGCACTGCGGATTTTTAGTGGAACTTTGAGTCGTTATTTGAAATGTGAATCTGAAGTAATGAAATTTTTTGCGCAGGGACCATCCTCGGTGCCTTGAGTCTCCTCTGCTGTGGGAAATGCAGACACGAGACGGTCTCCAGGGGGGTGAAGTATGGCCTGATTGCAGCCGTTTTGCAAATCGTGACCGCATTTTTCATCGTGGGCTGGATCTACAGCATTTACTACGGCGTGACCATGGTGCAGGATTCGTGTACGTAATTTTTTATGAAGTACTTAATGGTGCTAAATATGTGGAAATTAAAATACTTTGTTTTTGTTAATGACGCATTTATCGAATTTAAAGTGCGGATGGGCAAATTTGTAAATGCGAGTTTTTTGGAATTTTTCACTTTTAAATTGGACATGTTTTATGAAATATTTGAGAAATGACACCTTAATTATGATTTAAACCATGAATTTCCTGTTATTTTGCAGTGCTGAAGGGCGCAGGTGGAACGACGGCGGAGATAAATGAAGACACGACGGACATCGAGAGGAACAAGAATTCGCAAGGATCTTGAAATTGGGGGAAAATTATGACCTAATTTTGTAAAAAATTTCCAAGTAGATTTCTCCCTTAGAAAAACAAAGCTTATTTTATACGTATTTATGTGAACCTTCCTACTCGTGGTTTCAAGGAATTAAAGTAATTGTTGGAGTTTTCGGAAGACATTTGAAATTGAAAGGTATTATTTTAGTCTTAACCTTTGTTAATTTGGAAAAAAGGCTAAATCGTGTCTGTAAAACTGACAGTCTTTTCTGGCAGATTGACAAATTGATTCGGAATAATTTGTTAAAGAATATTTTTTAATTTGTAATTCTTTAAAGAGCCTCTTTCGCTAAGTGTAAAGAATTTTAGGTTCTCAGTTTGAGTACGCCCCAGAATTAAAGATGTGGAGGTAAATTTATAATTGTTTTATTTTTTTTTGGTTTAGAAAAAGTTTTCATGTAGTGGAAAAGCGGGAAGTTTGAAATGTTTGAAGTGAAACTCTAATTCTTTTTTTTTGTATTTGCTTAAATTCGAAAATTGTTTATTGTCTAATCACAGTAAGACTGTCATGATTAGATAAATATTTATAAGTTTGGAATAATGTGTGAAAAAAATTGTTTACTTAGCACATTGTAATTTAAGAGTTGAGTGGAATAAAAAGTAATTTTTTATTTGAATAAGGGAGAAAATTAATTATTATGTACGTAAGGTTAATAAGTTGTAGGGAAGAATTTGGATTAATTTTGGAGGCGCCGCGTCGTGTAATTTTTCTTAGGTGAGGAAAAGCCGGAAAGCTGGGCCCCGTCTGAAAAAGGAAATGCAAATATGCTCAAGTTGGGCCCCGCCAAGTCAAGTATGCGTACTGTTGCTGAGGTTCTAAGAGTCAGAAAAACCTGCGTCCTTTAAACACTTCCCCATTACTTTGGCTACAGAGGTCACATTTTAACGGTTGAGGGCTCGTTGGAAAGCTGAGGGTATACTGGGTCCACCCCTCTGCAAGGCAGTGACCTGTGCCACACCCACTCGGAACCACACCCCCTCAAATTAAAACTTTGCGTATGGAAGCTAAACGTTGTTATGTGGGGTGTCCATTAAAAGCTCCTGAGATAGACAACTAAACCCCACTTACATAAAAAATCATAACGATTAACCACACCCATCGGTAACCACACCCCCCAGGTCAAAATTTTTATTGTCGCGGTAACCCATCGAGTGGGGTATCGTTAGAAAGGTCTTGGTCGTAGTAACCCTATGATACCAAAGCCACCCCTCTGGACCACACCCACCAGAAGCCACACCCATTTCAAAAAAGTCGGAATTTCCACCTACAAGAAAGGTCAACACAATGGCCATCTCCAATTTTTTAAAAATTTCTAAAAATTTCTACAAAATTTCTAAAATTTTTAAAAAAATTAAAAATTTCATTACTTCAGATTCACATTTCAAATAACGACTCAAAGTTCCACTAAAAATCCGCAGTGCAAAAAATTACTAAATTTTTCTCCCTAAAAAATACCCAGACAACGTAATTTTGAAAAATTCTCTTTACTAAAAATTTGCCAACCTTACGTACCAATTTTTCAAAATTTTCTTAATCTTCTTAAAATTTGCCAAAAATTCGCAAAACTAAAAAATTACCCACTTTATATTTTGCAACAAAATCTTCTCCAAAATTGCCAATTTACCCCAACAAACTTCTAGCCAATCTCGACTCCATTACCTGTTCCTGGCAGAATTGTGTTCAGCAGGCAGAAAATAATGGCAAAAAAGACGGGCAGCGTGGGCACCGCTTTCCGCAGGAGGCCCATCTTCTCCGCCACCTCGACCACTTCCAGCCTCGTCACGTTGCCGTCCTTGTCCTCGATGTACACCTGGAAATATTCACGCCGAGATTAATCACTCCTTCCCCACGTCCTTAATTATCCTCTGCCGACATTAATAAGGCCACCGAAACTAAAGAAAAAATAAACAACCTTCCCGCCCGCCCAGTTTGAATTTATATTTGCAAAAAATTTGTGTCTATCTTCTTAAAAATCATTTTCAAATTTCCCGCCACAAATTCTTGTTCGCGCCATGACCACAAAATTTCCAACTCTACTCCAATCTTAAAACCATTCCTGCAATTTTTTGCCAGCAATCTATCTCCCCCAAAAACTAAACTCCTGCCGGAAATAATTGAACTAGAATCCCCACAAATTCTCTCCGGCATTCTCCATCTGTCTAAAAAAATTAGGGGTAAAAAATAAATAAATGATTTCCATCTCCCCCGCAAATCTGGCTCGTAATAATATTCAAGGAATAATGAGCTCCATTCTGAAGAATATTCTCTCCCAGAGAGCACCGTGTCTGGGGGAAATTCGTGTAAAAATAGATAAAGTGCAGTCGTCGTCGTCGAGGATATGGATCGAGGAGCAGATTATTGCCCAATTCTTATTTCCCATTTATTCCCCTTACGTAAACACACCACGACTACACTTCAGGCACCGCGGAATACACGGTGGGGACATTTTTTTCCTAGTTTCCTCCCCCTGTATTAAGTAAACCGCGCCTTTTTCAATTTTCTCATGTGTCCCCAGACATTCCGCGGGAAATTTATACAGCATTGTTTCCTGTTGAGGTCGTGCCGTGCAGAAAGATGGTGACGGATTTTAGATGGTCATAAAAATCAAGGCTAGAACAATCTGAACAGGACAACGTCCAAAAGTGGTTTTAACCACATATTTACGAAATATCTGAGAGGAGGCTAAGGTGTCCAAAAACGGGACAATTTTGACCAAAATAGCTTCCCGACGTCCGAAACCCCCTTAGTGACCAATATTTCCCAGATGATAAGAAATCCTCACGCAATTTATGCACAGCCCCTGACTCATTCCGGAAAATAAATGAAACCAGCCACACCAATAACCCAATTTCCCAGCAAGTAATGAAATCACAAAAATCTCCCCGGTGAATCACACCATGTTAACAACCATGTTCACCAGACCAGCCATAATTCCCTCAATAACCAGAATCACACCGAGATTCGCACTTACACCCACGAAAACGGTGTCAATACTCAGACTTCGTGACGCCTCGCTTCCATCCTAGGAAACCGCGGTGTCGTCATTTCACACGAAAAACATGAATCTCCCCTCAATCTGATGTGTTCCTTAGCAAAATAATTTTTTAATAAATTTTACAAGAATATGCGGTGCCTGACCTAGCAAAATTACCATTTCTACCACCACAGGAAATCAGGTGGGATATATTTTCCCATTTCTCCCATCACATTTTTCCCATCCCTAACAACCACACAGAAAATAAACTCTGCACGGTCTTCACTAATATCCCGACCCTTAATTTTTGGTTTACAATTATTTCCTCATAAATCCCCCCCCCCTTAAACTGACCTGATTCCCCTGCTGAAACACCTTCCCGTGCGCCTCCGCATTCTGCTGGGACAACTTCCTCCTCTGCTCGATCCCAATCCCCGCTGCGACTAGGAGGTGCGATCCGCGCCGACTGTGCGGATTGCTCCCACCACCCCCACTTTTCGCCGTAGTATCCAACCGATCCGGCGTCTGACCGCGACTCCTCCTCCCCCCAGCGACATCCTCACCGTCAACAATCCCCATCACGACTAACCCTCTTCACTTATTTTTATTTTTAAAATTCCGCCGCCAAATTTGAAATCTTCTCCCAAAATTTACCCCAACTCTTTAATCCTGCACTCGAACCTCGACTGAAGATGGTACGCATTCATCCACACAAAAAACTAAGAATGGGGAGCAGAAAATCAGACCGGAATGCGTGCCTGACTTGCAACACGGACAGAATTATTCTACCCGGGTAGAATTCGGTGTCTGTCTTGTCTTCTTACACAACACCATGCCCTGTCTTCCGTAAGGCATTCCAATTATTTTTTTCGACTTCCGTGCAATGTCACCTTTTTGTAAATAAACACTTTTTTTCTTAAACTATTCCCGTAATTTTATTTAAAAGTCTCATTTTCCCCACATCTTGGAATGAGAGGCGGTTTTTAATTAAAAATGAACTAAATGATAACGCAATTTATTCGTACAAGCGACCATTAGCACTAACTACTCTTAAAACTGGATACTTATCTATTTGTCGATACGCTGGAGTGTGCAAAAAATCTCCATCTCCAAATCCATCCTTTGCAGAAATGTTGCCATGAGAATCTCAACTTTCGCAGGAGGCCCGTTAGCTCAGTTGGTTAGAGCGCCGTGCTAATAACGCAGAGGTCTTGGGTTCGATCCCCACACGGGCCATTATTTTGCATCTCTTCTCTCATTACGTACTTTTTTCCATGCAACCATACTTCTCTTCCTTCAAAATTAGTTTTTTCCACAAATTTCCCCAAATTAAAATATATATTTAACAAAAAAATTAAAAATAAGAATTTTTTTGAAATATTTATAGTGCTCCCATAATTTTCTATAGTTTCATAATTTACCGTGAAAATTGAGAAAATCATTTCTTCATTTTTGAAAATTCCTCTTCATTCCTAAATCCAAATTCCACATTGTTCAAAATAAGTTTCTAAAAATCAATGTCTCCTCCTATCCTTGTTAACTTCAAAATTACCCCTCCCCCCTCCAAATACATTATTTCCCTCCCCAAAGCTCAATTATCGCACCCGCCGAAATTCCAAATTAGTAAATTCCTTCCGCCACCGTGTCCACATCTGCTCGAGAAAATGAGCCTGCCGAACGAAACTCTCTCCTCGAATTTCACACTTCCCTTGACGTCAATGCCCATTTTTTCCTTTCATCTCCTTCTGTAAACACGCCAGGCAGGGAATGATGATTGGGGGCGATGATGGCTCAAATTTATTTATTTACTTTTCCTCACTCCCAAATCGGTCCACGTTCAGTGAAAAGGTGCCAATTAGGAGCAGTGTTTCCAGAAAAATGAGTATTTTATGGACTCATTCTCAATGTCGGCGGAAACATTGGGGCCCCAAAAGATTATTTTTAAAATCAGTCAAACGCCCCATCCTGTCATCCTAAAATCCACCCCGTCCCCCCAATTTCTGCCGGCAATGGTCACCTCTATCTCAAAATTTTTATGGTCATCGCCAAGATCCTACATTCTCAAACTCATACCTTCATCAATCAAACTTTTACCTGTTACCCATAACCTATGCCAGTTTTAAATCGTTCATTTCGTCCTCTGGAATTTCCAGTCAATTTGCTTGCTTGCAGCGGCCGCGGAAGCGTGGGGACATAGGACAATGTCCCCACAGAAATTTCGAAACCTCGTGTCCCTTCAATGTTATGATGCCCCTCCCCTTCATATCCTACAATGTTAATGTCCCCATATGTCCCCACAGCTTCCGCGGCCACTGCAGTTGATTATGTAACCCAAACCGCCAAAACATACCTGCATTATGCTACATACCGTCTGGCTTAAGAGCTAAACCCCACCCCGCAATATTGATTGAACCACAAATCCATAGGAAAGATAAGTCCTGCAAAAATGTTGGCTTTCCCCGCAATAACTACTTAATCATAATTATCTGCTAATTAGCCTCTCACAAATCCTATATTGCCCAACAATTTTACAACCTGGCTTAAACAGGTTAAAAATAACACATCTGTTACATAATCAGGAGATATTAAACATTACTGAACATAGGGAAATTCCAGACAAATCGTATAATCCCCTAGATCATAAATAATAAGGACATGTATCACTGTCAAATACAATTATAACGAAATACTTACAAAAAAATCCAGTATAAAAGAGAAAAAGTGTACAATTAGTGTATCATTGGCCTCCTTTCGCCCTTCTAAGGACCACCATGAAGCTATTTCTCGTCCTCGCCGCCACCCTGGCAGTCGCCTCCACCGGCACAATCGACCCCGCCCTAGAACTAGCCGTTCAGTCCGGCGCCACTCAAGCCATTCTCGAATTACCCCAAATAATTGACCAAATCCACTCCAACCAGGCCCTTCAGTCCCTTCACAGTGACGCCAAGGTTACCGCGCTCGTCTCCACCCTGCAAGGACTCACTTCCGCCGCCCAGGCCCCCTTCGTCTCCATCGCGACCTCCCTTGACCTCGAAACTAAGCAGTATTGGGCCTCCAACATCATCCTCGTTAAGGGCCTCACCCCAGAAAAACTGTCCACCCTCTCCTCCACGCCGGGAGATTTCACCATCCGCGCGCAAAACGTCGTCTCACTCAACCCCCACCCCGCCCAGTTTGAATTTCCCAACACCACCCAGAACAACCCGCAATGGGGCGTCGCCAAAATCCGGGCACCCGAAGCTTGGGCAGTCGCTGATGGTGCCGGCGTCGTCGCCGCCATCATCGACTCGGGCGTCAACCTTGGCCACGTCGCCCTCGCCCCGGGCTACGCAGGCGCATGGTTCGACCCCTACTACGCCACGGCTGACCCGACCGACGAAAATGGGCACGGCTCCCACTGCGCGGGCAGCGTCCTTGGACGCGCCAACGGGGTCGGTGTCGCGCCCGGGGCGCGATGGGTCGCCTGCCGTGGCGTTAACCATCAAGGCATCGGAACGGAGGGGCCTCTAACCGAGTGCGCCCAATTCTTTTTAACCTCCAACCCCCGCCCGCACGTAATTTCAAACTCATGGGGTGGCGGTGCCGGGCAGACGTGGTTCAACCCGCAAAACGCGGCTTGGCGCAATGCCGGAATTATCCCAGTTTTCGCCATCGGCAACTCGGGATCCGCCTGTGGCACGGCATCCTCGCCGGCAGACCAGCCCGACTTGATCGCCGTCGGGGCAAGCACGGACACCGATGCCACGGCGACCTACTCCTCGAGAGGGCCATCCATCTCAGGGCCGGACGTTTGCGCCCCAGGGACCAAATCGTTTCCTGCGGGACAAGTCCAGATAATTATGTCACCTTTACCGGAACGTCAATGGTGAGCGGGATAAAAGATAACTTTAAATAATTTTAAAAGTTGCGCCCTAAATTTTTATTCCTATATTTCAGTCTTGCCCCCACGTGGCGGGAGCAGTCGGTAAAAAAAATAACTTTTGCCCACTCTAATGTATTTCTTACCACCAATTTTTATTTCCACAGCCGTCATCCTCTCCGCCCACCCTACCTGGACCTACGACCAAGTATACGACGCCCTAACAATGACAGCGGCTCGAATCCCGCTCTCCAACGCTGACCGGGATTGCGGACTTCCCACCCCAGACGACTACCCAAACCAGGCCTGCGGTCATGGCAGGATCGACGTTGCTGCTGCACTCGGCCTATGAATCTAATTTCTCCAATATCACCTATTCTTGAGTTTTTCCGGAAATTACATTTCTACAGGGCCAGCTAACTTTAATTTCGTCTGAAATAAGTACTTTCTTGATCACCAATCACATTATTTATTTCATAATAAAGTTCACTATCAATGAATCACGTTTATTTAACTGTACTCTCCTCCTTACAAAGTATACCAGACAAAGCTCCATTTGTCCCAAAAAATTAACAATTTACCATTCATACAAATTTCACAGACCTCTCTTTCATCCTTTTAAGCAGGGTCAGCACTTTCTCAACTTGTTTATTTAGGTTAACTCCGTCCAACGGAGATTATTAATTTCCGTACGACGAGGGACCATGCATACTGGCAATCTATCATCTGAGAATGGCTTCACCCAAAAATTTCCAGAATAGTTGGCACATCCCCCCACTGATGACTCCCCTATATTTTCGCATCTTACGATTTTTAAATATAGGTCCGTCCAAGGGTTACGTCATCAGTTTTGCGGCTCATAATTTAACAAACTTTCCTCAGGAATAGATTGTTTTCCCCATAAATTCGTCACACCCTTCGTGAACAGCCCTGGATGTCCCATCCTTCCTCAATATACAATCAAGGACGCCGTAATCCACAACTTGTACCCAACAAATTTATCTAACTAACTTATCCACCTTGTAAATAGGCACTTTTCCAGACCAAAGTTTCAAATATCTTGACTAAATCACCCCACAGTAATTAAATAAATCTGCACTAAATTTTTACTCATTAATTTCGGCTAACGTAAAGCATCTCAACAACAAATTCATGAACTCATTCCCTTCAGAAGTATAAGTTTTTAAAAAACGTTTTATGGTGAATAGATATTTAAATAACTCTATTACATATTCTAAAATTTTAACTTTTATCAAGAATTTTTGCACCTGCCTTAACAATTCTTAGCCCTTTGATCGAGAAGTTGTTGGAAATTCTAATAAGAGAAGAAATATTTAAATTTTAGATATTCATAGACAAAAATGAGAAACTGGAAGCGCATCGTTACGCACAGGTATTGATTTTGTCCCCATTCCCCGAGGGGGATGTGCATAAATAATTGAAGTTCCACACATCACCCCCAATTTGGTGTGTCTGCCTGCTATCAGAATTTTAAATAATATTTAGAAATTCCTCTTTCCACCAAATACTTGCTGGGATGCACAAATTCGTCACGAGGTCTATGAACATCCCTTGGAAGAGAGAAAGTTGGAATATTCTGTAGCCGGTGGTTTACATCATATGGTTGCCTTGTCAAATTTTGGGTTCTCTCATCTAGTTTCGTGATTATTCACGGAATTAAATATTCCTCACTTGTGTAGACATTTTGTTATATAAATTTTTCCACTTCCATAATTTCTGAACAAAATAAAATAAGGGATAACTGTTGCGGGTAATTTAATCAATTATTAATCTGTCTACCAAATTTCTACCAAATGGTAATTCATTTCTCCCATTTTTAGAAAGAGGTGACCTTGCAGATGCCGTAATGATGAGTAAAAATGCGCATTTCCTCCCAATTTTGGTCAAATGCATAGTCCAACTAAATATGAGGATCGACTTGTGGTAAATATTTGGTAAAGTTTTTACTTAAAAATAAAAATCGAATCAAATAATTCGATCTTAATTAATTACCTCCTTCTTCTTAGTAGATATCGGTATCATTTTCTAGAATTAGGAGGAGCAGAGCCCCTGTCGTATAGGACACTCGCCCAAGCGGACGTCACAATTAGCTCCATAACACGCCATGATGCCCGAAAATGAGCCGGCCTCCCAACTAATGAAAGACGTCATGTTTAATCACCTGGTAAGTCTGTCTCAGCCCTGGCATGCCGATTGCGTAACCAATTTATTTTTTCTAAGATCCTCTCCCCAATACTGACCCACCTGGACCTCACCAGCTTAAAGGCGGCCCGCCTCGTCTCCCAATTTTGGGGCAAGGAGGCACTATCCGCAATCCGAGAACGCAACCTCATCACCCAGCTGGTCCCCCCGTTTGACGAGGTGGAAGAAATAGTGGCCTTCTTCTCCACCGCTGGGCTGCCACACACCCTCTGCCTCTCCTTCGCCAGCCCGGCCTTCTTCTTTGAATACGTCACGGTAGAAGATTGCCCCGTGAAGAGCTACCACTTTCCCAGGGAGACTTTGGGGGAAGAAATTTTACGGAAAGTTGGCACCGCGGTGGTTCGAAATCACCGCTATGGCAGCCTTGTGCGGGAACTCAGGTTGGAAATGTCCTACCTGGACGAAGCCGATGCTGCATACCTGGCCCAAATTATGCAGTGTTTCACCCAGGTGGAGAAAGTTTTTTTGAATTTTACCGCGTACGAGAATCCCGCCTATTTAGCCACTTCGGCCGTCTTTCCCTACTCGGTGAAGAAATTGGCGCTGCGAACTTTCAAAGAGCATGGGGAGCAGCCTCCCGTGCCGCTCAGGGTACTAGCGGTCGAGCGTTTTCTCAGCGCCGTGGAAAATATTGCTTATTTGGACCTTCAGTGGTGGGGGCCGTGCATGTCGGAGACACAGGTTGAGTCGAGGATATATGTCGACGTGCTAGCGGCTCTTATTGCGAAGGTGAGGAAATAAAGCGGGATTGATGTTACATAATTCTTCAATTTTTAAGGGGTAAGTCCAGACTCATACCTATTCACATTCACTCATTTATTGCGAAATAAATAATGAGTGAGTGAAAAATTCATTAAATACATGAATAATGAATGAATAATTTCTCATTTCGGAATGAATGAGTTGATTTTGTATTCATTCATTTTTTGCCCTATGCTTAATACATGGGGCGAAGGGAGAATGAATGAATAATTCATCAATATGAATGAATTTTGAATAAATAATTTAAATTGAATTTCGAAATGAATGAATTTTGAATGAATAATTTTTTTTGATCAGGTATGAGTCCAGTTCCTATTTTTCAAAGAACAGCAATAAACTGAAGCATGGTTTTCTACAAATTATTTTTTTAAATAACAAAGCATTCGAATTTATTCAATTTGAAAATACCATTTGCCAATTAAAGAAATTGTTTCATTAAACCTAATTATTAAAATATTGAAACCACCTCTTCTGGACAGGGCTTTACTATTTGGCCGTCAGGGTTGGAACTAAGCCTTAAATTGCCTGTCTCCCATAATCCTCTTAAATTATAAATTAATTGTATCTTAACATAAAAATTAAGATCACAAGATATCACATTTCAATTTATACTAAAACCAAACATTATTGAATCCCATTAACTAAATTTTTAATTACGACTAGTTAGTCCAAGTATACTCAGAGAAAGAGTATACCCCCGCCAACTTTAAAATTTTCTTTGTCTATTTTTCCTCAGGACTCGTCTCCGTGCGCAAAATTGTGGCGGCCCACTCAAAAACCTTATTGAGCCTGACCGTCAACCAGCTGTGCGTTTGGTCCGTCGAAGATCACGTCCTGCCCGTCCCGACCGACCTTCCCGACCTTCCTTTCCTCCAATACTTAGAGATAACGACATCTGGCGCTATAGCCATTGGGGACGAATGGGCCCCCCATCACCTCGATATTTTCTCCATGCGACAAGTTTTTCTCGTGAGTCGTGTAAATTTTCAGAAACGATTTTTTCCAGGATAAAAATATATTTTGTCCCGTCAGGATGGCGCCCTCCCTCGGAAATTCCCCAAACTCAAAAATCTCTCCCTTTTCATGTACAACGAGCAGAGCAGTGCTGCCTGGCAACACATCCTGCCAGACAGAGGTGTGCCCTCGATGCCACAACTGGGCACACTGTCGCTATCGATTCGGGCGGGATGTTCGTCTCCCCTCCTGGCCGCGATGGTCCTCCCGTTTCCCGCCCTGGTGAAGATGAGGCACCTAATTTCAGTGGGGGGCAGTGACGGCGGGGTTGCTTGCGAGCATCACTACGCCCCGGGAGGGCAAGAACGCCGCATCTTGAGAGAAAGGAAGAGGGCAAAGGGATGGAAATGGATACCGTGGGGGCGGATGGGCGGTCACAAGGTTCATAATATGTGCACCGCTATGTCGGATGAGATTTGGGGCTAATTTAGGTGTTTTTTAATTTTTTTTAGACATCTAGCTTAAGATGTGTTTACAGTTTGTGGTATAAGACTGAATAAAATTTAGTTGTGACGTCTCATCTTCCTAATTGGGGGGGTACGTAAAACAGAAATGCTTAAATGCCATGACAGATTTAATTAAAAAAACCGGGATAAGTTCAAATATATTCTCAAACATTATGGTATGGGCATTAAAATTGAATATTTATTTCATTTTTCATCTCACTATTTTTCTCCATGCAAATTATCAACCTGCTCCTCTTCCCGCAAAATAACATACTTTCACTAATATATTCCCCTCATATATCGTCAAGCAAAAATAAATATTCTCCACAAAAATTATACTACTTCAAAATAAGTATTTACATTTTTCTAAATCGTATTTACATTTCATACGATTTCTCGTAAAAATTTTAAGATTTATAATAATACTCTCATAATCTTTTATAGTATGAAAATTTACTCGTGAAAATTGATACCCCGGCATCTTTACGCATCTCCCGACTACATAGTCAAATGGTGGCGAGAAAACGAATAGAAAACTGAGGAGAAATACAAACATCGTCACAAAAGGAACGATCCTCCTCCTGACCCTTTAGCCTCAAAAATGCCAAAGGGACAGATATTCATAAGGTTCAAATTCGAAGGTCGACATGTTTTTGGGAGAAATTAACCCATAGCTTGCATCACATTCTCACAATTTTAACGCTCCCCCTTAAAATCTCAATGTCACATACCTCTCGCAGTGGATGAAAAGGGATCCAAATCTTCTACATTCAGATTTCTCAGATCCAACCGCAACCCTGACCCTGCCAAACTTGACTTCGCTCTTGATCCTTCCTTCCTCAAATCTCTCCTGCCCAAGAGAAAAATCACCCTAAAAATCAGTCCCACTCCTAGTTTCCCACTCTCCACAAAACCACTCACAAAATCCTTCCCCAAAATTTACAAACTCAACCATTTTCACATTTCTCAAAAATGTTTCGATTTCCCCAGCTCGCCTCAATCAAGGCGAAGAATTATTTCCTCCCCACGGGAAAGCGATTCGCCTCCATAATTTCCGACGGGCGGGGAAAATGTGACGAAAAATTCGACACTAGCTACAAAGTGTGTCTTGACAATGACAAATCCAGCGTGAAAGACGTCACCATGGAGAACGTCAGGGGGTACGAATTCCCCAAAGTGTGTCTCCGCTATGGGAGAGAGGACGCCATCCAGCACGCCTTGGCAGGTCGGTAGCGCCGCCAATTTTTAAATATCGGTAGCGCCAATTTTTAAAATACCAATTTGACCACCCCTTTTCCACAGTCGGCATTGACGAATCCTACCCAAACTGGGCGCACTATCTCGACCGCGGGAACACATCTTTTCAAATCCTCCCCACCTTCCTGCTCCCCGTCGCGAACCAGATCTTGCTCGAGTTGTCGTGGCAATCGCAAATCATGCCGACTGAGAGGTGCGTCCATGGCGAAATTTACGTCAAACTCTTCCAACCTCTCAAACCCGACGGCGAAATCTGTTTCGAGTTGGAACTCGTCGACATTCTGGATAAGGGAAAGGGCACCAACTTCTGCTATAATTGTCAGTCATTTTAAAAATTTCTCTTATTTTTCCCGCTAAAATTTTTCTTAAATTACCCCAGTCCACGGGACCGATGCCGCCGGCCGTAAAATATTTTTCATCGAGTATCAAATCTACGAGATGGGGGTGAGAAGATACTCCTCCCCGGGCGGCCAAGGGAAGTCTGCCCATCACCCAAACATCGTGCCCCTCGTGGCCCCGCCGGCGGGAAGGGAGCCTGACGTGGTCCTCCCCTTCACGGCGGTGCCGTTCGACCCAAAATATTTTGAATCCGTCAAATCCCCGCCGAAAGACATGTCCCTATTTGCCACCAACTACCACAAGCAGTACTACGCGATTACCGACAAACTAAGACCAGAGCCGAGGTGCCATGGGCGCTACTATTTGGGCGCGGTGGTTCAAAATATCCTCAAATATTTTGGGGAGGGAGATGTCTCAAGGTTCAAGAGTGTCAAGGTTAGTCAAGTTTTGAAATTTTTAGAATTGGCGCAATTTTTAGTTGGATTATTTTTCTCGAATTGTAGACACGACTCTCCTACCCGGTCTCCCCAGGGGAGACCATTCTCACCAAGGCGTGGCATCTTGGCGAGAGGATCCACTTTGAAACTTTTTCCAAAAATAATGGAAACTCCGTTATGAAATGTAAATTATAAATTTATAATCTTTCTTGAGATTTCGAAGAAATTAATTAATTAATTAAGTTAATTAATTAATTATGCTCATTCTTTTTTGCAGCTTCGTACATTGATCTCGCCTAATTTCTCGATTTTATGGATTGATCTTAACTTCCCAAGCGGTATTTACGCTTTCATTTAAAATTAGTAAAACTGTGAATCCCAATTAATATCCTTAAGGAATATGAGAATTTAAAAATTACTTTCAATAAATAAATTCAGCCTTTCGTCTGACTCTACCATTTTTACGTCTCAGTCATTTAACAAGACTTAATTAAAAATAAGTAATGCATTTTCAATTTTAATTAATGCCGTCATCTACCAAAAGCGCTAGAGCTTCTAGTTTACGAAAATAAAATTAACGCATTATTCAAGAAAATCCATAAAATTCCATAAAATGAGAAACTATATTCAGTACGACCTTAAAGGCTATATTTACAAATCATCCAAATCTCCCGCCCTGTAGACACCGGAGCCAACTAAGAGTTACCGCTACTAAAAAATTAAACAGAATATTGACTAAGAATTTTTTGTGAAATACTCACAGTCACAATTTTTGTACCGAAGAAACACGTACTCGTAATAAAAACTCGCATAATAAAAATAAATAGGTACAATTAAGCTCAAATAAATTAATTATACCCACAATTTGAATAACCGCCGAATTTATTTATTTACTCCGAAAACTTTAATTCTTTATAAATAAATATATTCATCGTAAATCATTTTAATTTCAACTTCCCAAATCCCATGGACAAATCGAACCTTTAAAAATGTCATCATTCCTTGAAAACTGTCTCTACCGCCATCTCCGCTTTAAATCCGAGACCAGTCACCACTTCCACAACCTTCTCCTTCAAATCGTCGTCAATATTTTGCTTCGTATTCCAACAGACCCACGATGTCTCCCCGTCCTTCCAAGTGGTCACTCCGACAGCAAAAGTCGCGTTGTCAGAAAATACGACGTGATGTTTGTCTAATCAATCAAATTAATTCAGAAACAAAATAATTAAATTTCAATTAAAAAGTACCCCCTAAATAATTAGCAAAATCGATTATTACCAGCGGTAACAATACATGAGTTTACCGGAAATGGTATAAATCCAATACCGCGACGGTGGTAGATTATCGCGGTGGTGGCGCTATTATTACCGCTTTGGTAGTACACGTACAACCTCCGCGGTAACAATAGCGCCACCATCACGATAATCTACCACCGCCGCGGTAGTAGATTTCTACCATAGAACCATATATCGTCACCGCTGGTAACAAAACTTTTTAGAGCCTATTAAAAGTCCCACCTTCTCCAAAAACCATTGTCTTCTCCTCATCAAAAACCAACTTGAATGGGACATCCTTCAACCCAAATCCATGCAGCAAATTCGATTCCATATCCATACAGTTATTTGGGTTCGCAATATCTTCACTGGTAACTTCAGCGACGGATTTCTGCTTCATGAAAGCGGCAGAGCGGATCAAGTCTACTTTCCTCCAGTAGGTCCAATACCATCTTGGGACAGAGTTAAACTATTTATGAAGAAAACTATAAATTAACTGCAAATTAATTTCATGACTAATTTCTATCTCAGATAAATAAATTACCCAGGCCCAATCTAAATCTGGAAATATCTTTGGAATTAAGACACTCCCCTCCAAAAATTCAGTCTCGTCAACCATAATTTTTTGGCACGTATTTATTTTGCTCGTATTGCTCTTGAACTTGGTGTGGTGGAGTGAAGGTCGACTGAGTATTTGTGAGTTGACTACGTGGATAGATATACTCAATTCAGCTCTTGAATTGGAATAAAAAACTCATCACGCTTGCAGCATCTATCTACTGCATTAGTCTGGATAATGTTGATCGTCCTTGGTCAACAAGTGGGACGGTATTATACATATCTTAATTTATACATATGTATAGCTGGAGGGGGTGAGCATAAATAAATCTGTTGTTGTTCATCTTGCACCTGGTGCCAATGTTATGATAAATGGTGATACAAGTTAATAGAGAGTCTTTCGTGCAGATTTTGCTAATATTAGCATTTTGGGCGAGGATTGGTCTTTAATTAATGCAGGGCATATTAGGTCGCTGTTGGACTCGATATATACCCACACGTTTCTTCACACGTCAGCTCAACTCGTAGCGCATAAGATTCCTGACGAGGCCTTCCTGGTTCGATCCACCCCCACCGCCGTTAATTGTTGCATTTTTTAATTCCAGCAAAATGAGATAAATTTTCATGAATTCTTACCTTACTCGCATCATTATGGGGATGAGCACAAGTCTGCCAAGTTTCAAACGTGTGTGACCTTTTGACCCCAAGATATGACCCCGCAAAGGTCAAATCCAGGTCAAGTGCATGAATTCCATCGGGAGTGCTGTCACCTGATCCGTCTTGATTATACGATCATTTTGATATATTATAGATTTCTGTGCGATTAAAAATGGCTGAAATATCCTAGAAAAACTGAAATTTGGAAATTTAAGCAATTTTTTGATGCATTTTTGCAAAATATCAGTTTTTCAAGGATATTTCAGCCATTTTTAATCGCACAGAAACCTATAATATATCAAAATGATCGTATAATCAAGACGGATAGGGTGAGAGCACTCCCGAAGCAATTAATGCACTTGACCTGGATTTGACCTTTGGGGGTCCATATCTTGGGGTCAAAAGGTCACACACATTTGAAAATTGGCAGAGTTGTACTCGTCCCGATAATGATGCATATAAAATAAGAATTTATGAAATTTTATCCTATTTTGCTGGAACTAAAAAATGCAACAATTAACAGCATTGGGGGTGGATCGAACCAGGAAGGCCTCGTGAGGAATCTTATGCGCTACGAGTTGAGCTATGGCTGGCGTATGAAGAGACGTGTGGGTATATATCGAGTCCAACAGCGACCTAATATGCATTAATTAAAGACCAATCCTCGCCCAAAATACTAATAAAAAAGTCGTATGCATTTCTCGTCCTGAAAATTCATTGCAGGATGGAATATGCAATTGCATAATTCATAGAATCATACGATTCTTTCCATAAGCGTAAAATTAATAGAACGCACACCAACTTGCCATACATTTACTTGAAAACAAATATATACTCGTTTCAGTACGTAGCCATCATCACCTTTCCCTTACTGCACCACTCAGAATTATTTTCAAAGTCTATGGTGACTCTACCGTTTTGGTATCAATATAAAACTATGATCAATATTATGCAGTATTAAACATGTTTTTGGCTCTATTGATATTAATTTTTAAAATATCGGTATTAGTTTTATACTGTGCATTAATACTGTAGTAGTAATAACTATTAATACTGTCATGCCGGTATTAATATTTTTTTATAATCAATTCCCAGTTGCTTAGAGTGAAGGAAGCGCACTTTCTTCCACGGTTCTCTAGCTAAGTAATTTCTACTATCAACGTTGAAAACCTATAATAATATACATTGCATTTAACCGAAAGATTATGAGGGGAATTAAAATTTTTAACAAGACTTTGTTGGAATATTCAATAATTGAATATCAATTATATAGTTTGAAAATGGGACGGGTAGGTAAAATCGCCTAGTTTTAAGAGATTAGTTCCCTTCGCTCCGAAATCAATTAAACGTGTACAGAGAGAAAATTAGTGATGAGCCGTGACAACGTGGAGTTACGTTCGCACCAATTTTCGTCTATATTTGATGTACAAGTAAGTAGTTTATTTAATGAATTAAAATATTAGTATGGGTAAGCTCACATCATAATTTATAATCTTCATGATTTTTTAAATTGATATGGCACATTTATTTACATATCATCTTGTTAATTGGATATAAACCACATACGTAGCGATACTAACTCTTGAAGGTTATACATAAATCTGTTACCCATAGGAGTACGGGCTTGCCAACATATGTATGACTTTCCTCCATGAGTTTTCCCACGTCAACAAGTTAAGATCTATCAATTCTCAGCCTTTTTCATTCCTGTAAAGATTTTAAATTTGCAGGTTAAACACAATTATTTACTTATTAACCTGTTTACTCCCAGACATTGTAAGAACCCGACTAAACTTCCAGAGCGCTGAGGTTTTTATCAAGATTAGGATATGGTAGGTATTAATTGCTCCATAAATAAATAAATATAATGTAATCATACCTGTTCAAAAAAAATTTTATTCATTCATTTCAAACTTCAACTTAAAGTATTTATTCAAAATTCATTCATACTGATGAATTATTCACCCCATGTATTAAACATAGGGCAAAAAATGAATGGATAAAAAATCCATGCATTCATTCCGAAATTAGAAATTATTCATTTATTTAATGAATTATTCACTCATTCATTGTTTATTTCGTACTAAATGAATGAATGTGAACAGGTATGCATGTAATATTATACAGTGTAGACGTAGATTTCAACAAGAAACTATCCCCCCATTACAGTTCAGCACGTCAATGTTGGTCTCACTTTGGCGTGAAGCGTCCATGGATGTGGTCGTGTTAAAATATTTATCTGTCGAGAAATGCTGGAGTTAATTGTGGCAGTTTTTCTCGCCTTTTTGGCGATATGTCTAGGAATTTTGTTCATCTCGGATTGTGATATTTGGACCTATTTGCATATCAAGTTTGGGAAGGATGTCGGTATGGGGGAATTAATTTCGGGGGAATATTTGGCATGAAATATGAACTGTGTGGGATTCATGTTGCGTAATATTGTCGCAGTTTGTTAATTGAAATGAATTTCCATAAATTTTATATTTAAATTAATTTACCTTCTTGGCACGAACTTAATATGCCAATTTAGCAAGTCAGAAATTTGTCGTGAGTACGCCAAGGGTGTCAAATCTGAGGAAATTTTTTTAATTTCTAGCGACTCGTTTTGAAGGAAAAGTTGTTTGGGTGACGGGAGCATCGTCAGGAATTGGGGAAGGTGAGCAAACTTTTTTTTGATTTCGTAAAATAATCGAACTTTTTTGCCAGAAATTTTTTTCTTAAACTTGTGTAAAGTTTGTGCTATCAAAATTAGTATCCATGACTGAATTTCTGGAAAAATTCTCGTGTTATATTGTTGCAGGACAAATATTCCGTAATATTCTTGAAATACAAAATTTTCAAATTGAATATTTTGTCCAGGTATTGCCAAGGAGTTGGTGAAGGTGAAGAATGTGAAAATAATTTTGTCCGCGAGGAGGAACGAGGAGTTGGAGAGGGTTAAGAGGGAGTGTCTGGGTAATTATGCTAAATATTTTGGCAAATTATCTATTTAATTTTATGATGTGGGTTTCATACAATTTTTGCACAGCGTTGAACAAGTCCACGAAACAGGATGCCATCCTCGTCTTGCCGTTCGACATGGTGGATTATGACAGCCATGCCAAGGCGTTGGAAAAAGTTGTGAAAACTTTTGGAAAGGTGGGTAATTTGAATAATTGGAGACATTTGAGAAAATTTAGGTGGCACTAACTTTTCTTAAATTGCTTTATATAAGATGTTTTTTTATAATTGGTAAGCATATTTAGTAATTTTGCAACTTATGGTGTACAAAGGTTGGCAAATTGGGTATAATTTGCAAAATTGTTGATTAACTTAACCTTCACGATGTGTTATTCTAATTATAACGCCGCGAAAATATTAATTTCGAAATAATAAGTTTCCTAAAAAATGTTCTCGTTTCAGCTCGATATCCTGATTTCAAACGCGGCCGCCATGGGTCAATTCGCGCTCTGGGAGGAGGCGCCAATTTCCACTGATATGGCCCTCTTCGACTTGAACGTGTTCTCCCTCGTAAATTTGAACCGGATCGTACTCAACTATTTCAAAAATGAGCGGGGCCGTCAAGGTCATTTGGCGGTGGTGTCAAGTTTGGCGGGGAAAATGGGCTTTCCATACCTCACACCTTATACGCCAACAAAATTCGCGCTGCACGTAAGCAAACATGTTAAATTAGCTTGTTCCCGGGTTCGAATCCTGGCGATCTATTAGTTTTTGCAAAAATTAAGAATATGCAATAATTTCGATATGTCCATTTTACGAAACATTCATCAACTGTAAATTATTTACAAATTAAGATTGCACTTCCAGGGGTACTTTGACTGCTTGAGGCACGAGTTGAGGAAAATGGAACGAATTCACGTCACCCTGCTCTGCCCGGGGCCAGTTGAGACGAACATATACAACGATACTCTGACCGGGACTGGCGCGGTAAGGTTTGAAATAATTCAAACTTTTATTTAGTTTATTTCAAAAAATCTTACTAAAATTCCTAAAAATATAAAAAAATTTAAAATATTTTCAGCGCTTCAAGCTCACAATGATGTCCACATTAACGCGAAACGCTATGACGACGGCGCGATGTGGCGAAATTTGCCTGGCCTCGATCGCAAATAAGTTGGAGGAATCGTGGATGGGGCCACTACCGAATTTGCCATTCATGTATTTGGCGGCATATCAGCCTTTCTTGTTTTCAAAGTGAGAATAATCGCGGTAAAAATATGACGACGGGCAATGTTTCAGATTCAATCGCTAAATTAAAATTTAAAATATGGCGGCGTTCGCGGGATTTAGACTCCTTGCTTCTAGTGAAGCGATAAATTTGTTATAATCAAAGCGGTAGAATTAAAATTAATTTTTGTCCCAACCATAATAATTTTGCAAAAATTAGTCGTAATGCCTATATTGGCGTTTTAAATTAACTAAATTATTTTTTTCTCTTATAGATTAACCGCCTTCACGATGAAATTTATGCTGGTGGACGAAGAATAAGAGGAGCGGGAAGAAAAGCGATGTCACCTTTTAATTTTATATGAACATAATTATCTTCTCTAAAAGTATGATAAAATAAATAATTTTTGTATGAAAAAGAACAATTGGAGATAATTATGGTTATAATAATAACAGTGCAGAGTTAATTGATCATCGATTAATTTATTCTCACGAGAAATCCCAAAATATTCTGAGGTTGAGTAAGCATTCAAATATTTCCTCATATTTAGAAGCCATATACAAAATTTTTTAATTAAATTAATCAAAAATCAGAAGGCAACCCAATTTTTAAAAATATGCCGCCCATTGTCCCATCTTTTTCAAGTAATTATCCTCTACTTAACCCTCTGTATCCTACCGACAACAAAATATCCACACGAAATAAGAACCAACCAAGCAATCGGCGTTAGGAAGGCCACCCTCACAACTAAATGCCCTAAACCCCACCCATTATTGAACACTCGTCTCATCGCCACCATCGGCAGTGAGATTGGATTCAGATAGTAGAACATCCAGCGGAAGTGTGCATTGACAGCTTCCAGCGGCCAGAAGGATCCTAAATTAGAAGAAATTAAAATACGAGCTTCATAAAAAATTATTACCAAATTACCGGAAGGGATGCCGCATATCAAGATGAAAAATATTATGGTAACAATCGTTTCCCTCAACCTAGAAAAGATACTGGCGGCCAACATTGCTGTTCAAAAGAAATTTAGGACACCCTAAATAATTTTCTGAGTCGTTTATAACCAGCGGTGACGATATATGAGTCTACCGGAAATGGTAGAAATTCATTACCGCGACTGCGATAAATTTTGGTAGTGGTGGTGCTATTGTTAGTAACAATTTGCGACCGCTTTGGTAGTAAACATATAACCTCAGCCGTAACAATAGCGCCACCACCATCACAATCTACAACCGCCGTGGTAATGAATTTCTACCATTTCCGGTAGACTCATATTTCGTCACCGCTGGTAATAAAATTATTTAAACTAAAGTATTTTTGCATACCTAACGACATCGTGACAACACTGGATAGTAGCGCCATGACAAAGCACGTTCCTAAATTTCCCCTAACCCCGTATCCGACCAGGGCGAATTGAACCGCAAATATGGCCCCGATTTGCAAAATAGTCATGGACGTTTCAGAAATAAAATAGGAAATGTAGACTTGCCGCATTTTCACTCCTGCCGCCAGCGAACGGGCCAACGTCCCTTGTTCTTTCTCCGTCGAGAGGAAAATGCCGGCAGACATCGAGAGAAAGAAAGTTGTCCTGTTGGTAAACATTTAAAGGTAATTTTTTTGTGTCGTATTGAGGTTATCTTCTAATTTTATCTGGAAATAAGATGAGATGGGAGATAGGAATGTTGGAGTCAGAGATCTCGAACACTAGTTCGGGAGATGGGCTCGCACTTTAAAAATCTGGACGACAAAATTTCATCCTAATAATTAAGGCCAGAAATCGTTCTCACAGTCTCGACCCGCCTTTAGTAAGCTGACCCAAATCAACCCAATCCCATCTCCTTGGTAACGCCTATTTTTATCAAAAATTCAAACTTTGCACTTACAAAATTACATTGGCTGGAAGGATATATTCTTGAAATGTAAATTCGTGTGGATCCAGTTTTCTGTTGAACTGTAAATACATTTGACGAAATTCTTTAGTTGATTAATTTGTTTTGTCACATGACGGAATCATCTTAAGACTTACAGTAAAGGGAGATATAAGAAGTTTAGGATTAATTTCTATTCTTGTCTCATTAACGATCCCTTGAAGGAATCGCATATAACTTAGTTGAATCATGTTGATCACGAAATTGGTGTTTATCGTATCTAAGAAAAAATAATTCATGTCACAATTTCAGTAATAGTTAATAAAGTTAGTAATTTTTTACTCGTCATATCCATCCGAACTTTGATCGTACTCTGCCGCAAATCAATTTCAGGGGTGAATCTATCAAAAGCAAATCTATGGATGGTACTGACTGTGAAATTTGCGGGAATTTCAACAGCCCCTATTGATTCGCCAGACTGGACAGCAGCCAATGCTGAGGTGCCTGATCTATAATATTTCTAGTAAGGATAGAACAATTTAATTTAATTAGGAAAAATTTTTGGACATTTAAAGTTAAATCGTTTTCCTTGAGAAATTTCTAAGCAACCTGAATCCGCTTACCAAACTAAACTTTCCCGCCCCATTCTCAAGTTCGTTTAGAAAAGCACAACCCCACAAGTTGCCATTATTCCCCAATAGACTATAATTCATAGCATTCATTCCCCCCAAACAATTCCCTTCTCCATTACACACAGCCAACCTCATTCCTACAGGATCTCTGCCAAAAATGTAAAAGATGGCTATGACCTGGATAACCGGCAGGAGCAAGAATGTAGCCAAAACCCTGTAATCGTAATTTTTTAGATATAGTTTGCTTTATAGATGCGCAGTGTATACTTACTCCGGTGTGCGCATGTGGAGTAGATAATTCCGTTTCGTTAGAATTCTGACTTTTTCAAACTCCTCAACAATTTTTGACTTCTTTGGAGTTTTGTCTTTCTCAGGAAAAATATTTTCTGTCGAGGCTCCATTTTCGTCTTGCTCCTTTAAACGGAAAGATAATGGGCTACACTTATCGGATTCCAGTCCTACCAAGGGATACTTGTGTCTCGATATTTTAGCTAGTATACGATTATCGATGGACTGTAATTTTTTCTCCTCATCCATTGTGGCAAGAGATTTCAGCACGATTTCTAAAATCGGAGTGCCGTACGCCTCCAGGAGATCGTAGGGATTATCTTCGCAAATTAAGCGACCCCTCCGCATTATGCCGATCTGGAGATGATTATTGGTTAATTTGTTTATAATACCTTATTAAGATGGGAAAACTACACCCTAAGTTGTTTATTTCCAGCGGTAACGATATATGACTCAACCGGAAATGGTAGAAATCCAATACTGCGGCTGTAATAGATTTTCGTGGTGGTCGCGCTATTGTTACCGCTCTGGTAGTGCGCATATAACCGCAGCCGTAAAAATAGTGCCACCACCAGTATTGGATTTCTATCATTTCCTGTAGACTCATATATCGTCACCGCTGGTAACAAACTTATTTAAAGTGTATGTTTTAAATATATCTGTAAACCTTATCACATTTCCTCGCCTCTTCAGCATAATGCGTCGTGACAATGACCGTTGTTCCCAACGTGACTACCAGACCACCAATATAGTCCCAAATACTATAATTTCCCATAAAGTATATCACTTTTCCACAATTTGAAAACTCCGCCACAACCTTACCCCAATCTTAACAAGGGATCAATTCCCGTCGTAGGCTCGTCCAGGATCAAAAGTCTGGGGCGATTTAACAACGCGACAGCAAGCGAGACACGACGAAGCTGTCCACCGCTATTTTCAAATTATTTTTTTAGAAAGCGCCAAAAATTGAGAAATTAACGAAATGACTCCACCTTAACGTTTTGACGGAGCGATTCCCATCCTCCAAATTCAGAACGTTACTTAGTCCCCGAATTCTGACCCTTATTTCGAAATTACTTAGGCCTTGAAGTTTTCCGAAGTATTCGAATATTTCCCGAATTCTTAACGGATACAAGGCCACTTCCTAGAAAACTCATGGTTAAGTCCTGATGTAATTAATTAATTTTTTAGACCAACCTGGGGCATGTGTCCAATCGAGGTAAGAAGTTCCTCTCTCGATCTACAGGCATCCCTTTCTAGGACGGAAATATGGCCCGAATCCAGGGCCATTTGACCCATGATACACTTCAAAAGTGTCGTCTTTCTACACGATAAATTCTAAACGATCAGAAATATTCACGGTAAAAAAAGAACACCTGGAATCTCGACTAACCCACAACCGCTCTCGCCTAAGAGTCCATAACTAGGTTAGGATTTAAGAAAATGTCAAATTATTTAATTAAATTTTTAATTTAAAAAATCCATTTAAATTTAGGTCCCCTTACATCTTTCCATGTTCGACCTGCATAAACATATTTTTCAGGATGGGTTCTCTCGCACAATAACTTTTACACCCGTTCGAAACCCGGACCGCGTAGGGGGTCATCTCCCCAGAAAAGTATTTTTAATTTAAAAAAACTCAATTTCAAGTTAAATTTTAAGTCATTAGTTCAATGAACTCCGTAATCAATTAAACGTGTAGAAAGAAGAAATTCTCAAAGATCTGTGAGAATATAGAGTTACGTCCGCACCCATACTTGACGTAAAAGTAAGTAGTTTATTTAATTTATTAAAATATTAGTATAAGTAAATTCACATCATAATTTATAATTTTCACGATTTTTGCAATTGATATCGCACATTTATTTACATATCATCTAATTAATTGGATATCGCAAACCACACACTAACTCTTGAAGATTATACACCCATAAATCTAAGAAGTACTGAATACAAGTCACATACTTTTTACGACTTTCCTCCATGAACTTTCCAGTTCCCACGACAACAAGTCAAGTAAGATCACATCAATTTCTCAGCCTTTGTAGCAAAAATTTTACATTTGCAGGTTAAAGGAAAGTATTTGTTGACCAGTTCTACTTCCAGACGTAATCTCAGAGACATTGTATCTAGGTAATTAGTGCGTAAATAAATAGAATGTTCATGGAATATTATATGATTATTGCAGAGATTAGCATTAAATTTCTTTAGGTACCTCACATTTATTCGCATGATAAATACAAATCTACTTAAGTACTTCTAAGTAAGTAATACTTACTTAAGAATTACGCGTCCACGACAATACGCATTTAAACTATTTAAATGTTATTTATTACAATAATAAATAACATTTTAAATAGTTTTCGGCAATCAATGAATATAAGCCGATTAACGATTTATCATCAGCGTAGGCGAGGTAATGTTAAGGGGCGAGGGGGGCATGCTTCATACTTTTAAATGCACCTATCTTACCTTAGATCTTTTCAAGTCATGTTTACACATTGAAGGCATTGGTGGGCTGCGTAAATCGCATAAATACTTACCCCGTTAAACTATCAAGTTCTCCACAAAAATAAAGAATTTAAAAATCGGAAATCATAATAAGTTCAGAATTCTTACATGACCCCGGATAAAAACTTTGGTCTGATCGCATCGAGCATGGCACATAATATTAATTTTCCACAATTCAATTAGGCATAGGTTTCTGCTTTAGTGTATCTCGCATTTTAATTAATTTCTTTTTTATTTCTGCAATTTTTTGCCCTGTCCAGCACAAATCAATTTATAGACAAAGCTAACTATGCTAAGCATCTTCCTATAAGCATAAACTCAATCGTCCCACCGCTCGAGTAGAATTACGTCCATAAATAAAACCTGGCCAAGAATACACAAAGAATATCCTGTAACAAAGCCGTGAGTTCATTTCATTTCCTCCTTTATCCAAATGTTAAATAGATATCAGTTAACAAAACTGGTTTAAAAAACGAGTGAATCTAACTAATAAAAATTGGTGTATGGTCAATTTGGTACGGTCAATCTGGTACGGTCAGTTTGGTCACACGTCCGGTCAATTTGGTACGGGATTATTTGGTCTAGTCAATTTGGTCTGGTCAATTTGGTATGGAACTATTTGGTATAGAAATATTTGGTCTGATCAATTTGGTGTACATAAAAATCTTTAAATTAACAAATTAAAATTCATTTCCAATTTTTATGAGATAAATAAGTGTAGTACAAATTCTCTCTACAGCTTTGCATAGCCCGAACCAAGAAAGTTGTCCGATTATATGACGCTTGATAATTTTTGAGTATGTATTTGAGTATGTAGAAATTTGGCCAATGGCCAAATTTGGTCAGTTTAAAAATTTACAACGTTTGCATTGTATTCTTTCATCCCAAGTCAATACTAATCCTCAAACCGAATTTCAGCTCAATTGGAGGGTTAGGAAAATCAGTAAGGGTGACTCAATGGGGTCCGTCTGGTCGAAAATTTTAAGTTAACGTTATATTCTTTTATTAAAAGCCATCAGACCTACGTGCCACATTCCAGCTTTCTATACCTATTTTGAAATTTTGGTATATAATACCCCAACCCCTATATGACCTCCACCGGTCAACCACTCAACCGATTTTGCTCATCTTCGAAGTCATCTAAGGCCCAACGGTCATTTTAAGGCCAAGGTGATCAAAATCGATTCAGAGATTCCTCCGCTAGCATGACGGACGAACCGACACGGCCAGTTAATCGGCTACAAAACAGTCTGTCAGAATAATATTTTTCAGACCCAACTAATCGAGCATTTAGGGAGAAAATTATGTAATTGCACCTGTACCATTTTAGATATACCTAATTGTGCATATACCAAATTGACTATGTACCAAATAATACGAGACCAAACTGACACTACCAAACTGACCAGACCAAATTTTACATATACCAAACTGACCTTTTACCAAATAATACCATACCAAACTGACCGTACCAAATTGACCGTACCAAATTGACACCAATTCCCTAACCTATTTAGTACACATCCCTCTGTACGTAACCATAGTCAAGATACCTTGGGAATTTCTTTAGTTGGAATTCAACCCATGTGTATCTCACTTCTTCTCAAATATTCCAGTAAAAACTTAGAATGAAATCCCTCCTCAGAAATTTGATGCTATTCCTTGCATCAATTTTTACATCGATTTTCATTCTCCCATTGGTTCTTCTCCTTGTCATATTTCCACTAATATTGTACAGAAAACTGATCTTATCCCTGGCCTCGTACAAGACGGATATCTACCGTCCCCTAAATATCTCGAGCAGTGTGTTTTCTTGGGATGACATGTACCGAAAGCCGACATGCTCGATCTGTTTGGCGCTCTTTTTAAAAAATAAGCACGACATAAATCAAGTAATTGGCAGGTTGGAGTCAATCGTAGAAAAAGTAAGTATTTATTATTTTAAATTTTTGAACTTCCCGCCGTAAATAAATTTAATCCTTTTTTTAGTATCCCGAACTATCCTGCACTTTACACCGCTGGATGGGAACCATCTTCTGGAAGAAATCCCCAACCTTCCAACTTTCCCGCCATCTCACCATCAATGAGGAATCCGACCCAGAAAAAATCACCCACTACTTGGACACCCTCCCTGAAAAACCGTACCGAAAAGACGCCCCCTTGTGGGAATTCGTGTCACTGCCAAATTATGAAAATGGCACCAAGTCTGCCCTGATTTTGCGCCTCCACCACTCCCTTGGCGACGGGTTGGCCTGCATCTCAGTTTTGAGCGACTTCTGCGACAATAAGGGGGGTCACACCGTATTGGAAAATATTAAGGGAAAATTCCACAAGAAAAAACCACCATCTTGGCCGCGAAGATTTTTGAATTTCCTCCAACTAATCTTCATCACTCCGACGGAATTTGCGTACCTTTTGCTGAAAGGGATTGATTCGAATCCCCTCACGATTCAGGTACCTGACCGGAGTGGGGAAATAGTCCGATGTAAGTGCGGTTTTTTTAAATATTTTTTTTAAATCGTTAAAGATTTTTTGAAATAATTTTCAAAAATAGGTCATAACCTCGTCGCACTGGATATGACGGACCTGAAGCAAATTTCGGCCAGAACTCGGACCAATGTGACGTCCCTCATGTCCGCCGGAATTGCTGGGGTAATGAGAGAAATTATGAGGAAAAGAGGGGCAAACCGAGACGCGACGGCACTCTATGTTCTCCCAAATATTTCCAGTCATCCAGGAACTTTAACGAATAATATGTAGGAGTATTTATAAAATGAGTAGTTATTTAAATTAATTGAGTTAATATTTGTATTTCTTGCAGAATCGTGGTCCCAATGCGCATGCCCCTCTTAGAGGCCTCAAGGGAGGAAAGACTTCTCCAAATCTCCAACCAATTTCGTCACTTTTTCAACTCCACCCTGCTCGTCGGGGCTGCCGCTGTTTTTAGCGGGAACGCCCTAGTTGCCAGCATTTTAAAAAAGGAAGTAGTATTTCCCGCCGCGGTGACCTTGGTGCATTCTAACATCGCTATTTTTGAAGAGGATGGATGTGAATTTTTTGGGAATCCTGTCGAGCGGGTGCTGCCCATTGTTGGGCTGCTGCAAACATCCTGCTCCCTCATGATCACTAATCTTAGCTACAAGGGGAAAATGGGAATCTCTGTAACCGCGGATAAAACGCTATTCTCGGACAAAGAGGAGTTGGAAGGAGTCATTAACGACATCACTGACGAGATTAACAAACTTGGTCAGATTAAATAATTCCTAAAAATATAAGCAACTTCAAGCCGGCTTGGTTTTTATTCAAGGTCCTACAACAAAATCCTGGCGCAAAATTCCATCAATAAAATCATCCTGAATAATTTTCAACGATTAAAAAAATACATTTGAGTATCAAACTGTTAAACTTTCTTCCAGATGTAAGCATTTGTGTAATTAAAACTATATTAACCCGCAAATACTGTAAGAATAACTAATTATCGTTCATATTTTAGTATTGTTCTATAATAAACTTGTTTTCTACTTTGATTGCGATGCCGAAACTAAGCATGTTGTTTTTGTAAATTTATGTATTTCCCAGTTTTTATTAAATCCATTAAATATGACGCAGTTTCCCACTTTGCCTGTATTTGAGTAAGTTCAGATTACATAGATAAATTATTCAGCTACGCATTTATAGGTGCTCGAGCTCACTATTGAGGTTATAAGTAGATCCTCTGTGAACAGTCTCTTCTGTTAGCCATGATAAAAAAGAGTTATAAAAATACGCAATAAAAATAGTTATAAAATTTATCTATGTTTGATAAGTCAACTTACAATACCTAGTGTCTGCATTGTACATATAATTTAACAGGCTGTGAATTTTTACCGAGGTGTACATATTTCTCCATCAATTAAATTCACTGATTAAGTCTTTATTTCTTTATTTATTTAAATTTGTAATTACAGACCGACATAAAAGGCAGGTTATCCATGTTGGTTTATTCCAGTGGGAAATACTTACTCCATCGGAATTCCTTCATGGTTGTGCAACATCCTCTACCTAATGGTGTAAAGTATGATTAAACAGCGTAATGGGTGGTGGTGCGACACATTGTGTCTAATTTTAACAACTAGGCTACTCTGGGTGCCCGTGGGACCAAGTGCAATCCCATCATTTGCTTCGGATATAATTAAAAATATATTTTAGCGGAAAAATAGCGCATATCCCTTTAACTATTCGTAAATCAAAATTTAATGTGACACACCCACCTCACGTTTCCGAAATTTCATAGTTCACACAACAAATCACGTTAGTGACTTCTGGTTGATTTAATATGTTGGAGTGATTAATACATTGAAGGGATGCGTCTGGGACAGACAGACAGATAGACCGATCCGGTAAATATATAAGTTGATACATTCATGCCGATTCGTATCATATTTGGTATCCACCGGTTCAAAAGATTTCCCATTGTGTAAGTAAAAAAATATAGCTGCTTCTTATCTTAAGTGATATGCCATGTGATTATGATAATACGAGTTTAATGACTTAAATTATTACTAAAAAATTTATAGAGATGTTTTTAATGAAGATGTTTCTCATCGCTTCACTTTTGAATGGGTTCCACGGCAACCTTAACGAATCACGTAGATTTGGTTTTCTACTCTGAGCACCTTCTTTGTGATATATAAAGGTTGTTCTCCATTATAATTAGTGTCAGACCGCTTCAACGTCGAAAAAAATAAAAATGGGAGAAGTCTTCGCTAAGAAAACAAATTCCGTTTGGTAAGATTTTTTGATGCATTATCCATCTAACTTACGGTAGTCAGTTTACTCACAATTTTTTTAATATGGCTTGTTATCTGCGGTAACTAGATATGACTCTACCGAAATGGTAGAAATCTACCACAAGGTAGATTTTGGCATGCGCTACCATCGCTGTTATAATAACGTCACCACCACCAAAATCTACCACTGTTGCTGTGGTAAATTTTTACCATTTCGGTAGTCATATCGGTAACGGCTGTATCACTAGATATTTTAGTGTACTATTTGTTAAACTGGTCTGTATTCTGTCAATATTTCCAGAACTCACAAATATCTAAACATTTAAAAAAATTTCCTAATACATTATTTTAATTTCAGTCCTTCGGAATTAAACATAGAAGAATTCTTCCTAGATTTGAAAGGCGCCCGTACCATCCCTCCCGCTAAGATCGACCCAGATCGCAAACCTCCCGCTTGGCTAGATTTCAACTTAGCGCGAAGAGGTCAACAATTCGCTAGAAATAACCTCCCCTCAATTTCCATCTCACACATGTTCGGTCTCGCAAGTAGTCCTTATACCGATGGCATCGACATCTTGCTCCTTTCTGGAAACTTTTCCACCCCGGCAAGCGCCACTAAGCGGTACACCTCAACCATTACCGAGATAATCACGTGGTATACCGATCCCTTCTGGGAGTCTGGATCAGATGGAAATATTACCGATATTTATAAAAGGTTTGCCCAAATTTCATAATATTTTTAAAAAAAAACTCGACTCTTTTTACTAATCGTATCGATACTTACAGTTTAAACAGAGTCCGCGCCCTGCATTCCGCTCTTGCCTGCGCCGCTTCAAAAAAAATCTCCCGCGGAGAAATCCTATCCGACGCGAGTGAATTTTCCGACTATGCCCCCACCGCCGCGTGGGCCGCCGCAAAGAAGGATCTTAACAATTCAAACATCCCGCCAAGCCAGCGCGGTATTGCGCCATCTAACGAGAAAATTTTCAACGCGGTACCATTCAACCAGCAAATCCTAGCCCTCATCCAATTCGCCTTTATCGGCTTTCCCATCCTTTTTCCTGAACGGCTCGGAATTTCCTGCCCAAATGAGGACGACCTTTCCGCTTTCAACCATCTCTGGGCAATCCTCGGATATTTGGTAGGCATCGAAGATAAGTACAACATCGCACTTCGCCCCAATTTGAAATCAGCGCGGGAAGTTTACCGGGGGATATTTGAACGGTACGCCATCCCGAGTCTATTCCATGCCGAGAAGGATGCCATTTTCGTGGCGGATGTTACGTTTCAGGTTTCAAATAAAGTTAATTATTAAAAAATAGAAGAATATTATTTAAATCGTGACATTTTCTGTCCCAATTTCCAACCCAAAATACAGGGTCTTCAAGGAATTACTTCCATCTCGCCAAACATTCTGATGTACTGGACACTCAAGGATATTCTCCAAATTCAAGCCACCAATACTTACAACGCCTTGACGTTTACAGAAAAAATAATTAGCGCCGCCAAGGACCACTTGATGTTTGATGTCTTGAAAAACCCAATTTCTAGAAAATTATCCACTTTTTTCCTACTCAACACCCTCTTAGTTGTTGGAAAGGAAAACTTTGGTCCGCAGTATGCCAAACGGTTTGATAACATTAAGAAATCGTTCGGTTTCTCTGATGGGTATGAGTATTTTGAGCGGGTAGTATTCGGACTAGTTTGGTTGTACAAAATCATTTTGGCCGCGTTTATTTTCGTTTATAAGGCTTTCTAAGGGACGTTGTGTGCCAGATAAGATTGAAATTATGAAGGAATTGCTTACTATGTATTTGTAAATATTTTACTCATTTAACTCTGCAAATTTGTCGGAATTTTCAAGTATGTAAACAATATATTACTTGCAATTACTAATTTTAATTAAATAAATTTTACAAAGGGTTTCCATGTTTTTTTGTATTTTATGGGTTTCGGAATTTGTTTATGTAATTGAGGGAGTGAAACTATTAATAAAAAATATGGAAAAATTTATGAGTTCTTTAAAGTGACAGCATTTAATAGGCCATAGGAATATAGGGATGCCATTTAGAAAGTTAAGATGCTATCAGCCAGATTTTATTTTCGATAAAATTCACGTAGAGTTTCGCAATTTGACCTCAAAGTAGGAAAAAATGCTCGTAGAAAAAATGATCTTTTCCACCTTGCGAGGTCAACCAATTTCTCGTTCCCTTGCTGAACCCGCTTCAACATTCAATTTTCTTTTTCGTATGAATTTTTTTAGAAATTTTATCCAGGTTGGTTACAAATCCCTTAAAATATAATAATTATTATTAGATCGTCTCATTAGTAATAATTATTTATCTAATAATAATTATTACTAATGAGACGAGCATACCACACAACACAAATATAAATGGCAATCACCCCACAGTAATAAAACAAGGGTGTAATTAACTAGACATAAAATTTTAACCTCACTAATTTTGCGTGACATAAAGCATACGAAACAAATTCATACCCTCTTTCTTTGCGTATTATAAAAAATACAAGTCTTAAATTACATAATACTGGCATTTAACAAGTTTACAGCGCCGGTTCATTATTTTTTGAAATGTGTAATTTCACATTTCCTAAAAATTCATAAATTTCTTGAAAAATACTTATTTCCGCATAGCGTTCCTCATGCATTTCTCTTTGTTCACTTGAGCAGCGTGAATCTCACTCATCCCGGTTTTAGCACGAATTCAATCCCACCTGGCTCGCAAACAAACATTACACTCAACTTTCACTTTCAATTAAATATTTAATTCCTCATGTTAGTAATTAACTAATAATTAAGAGAATTTTATAGTGAGTAAGTTAATTTATTTGGTAGTAAATTAATCTCGAATTAACCACAGGTAAGTCAACAGATTTTTCAATCTTATAAAATTGTAAATTATTTACTTTCTCCAACTTTTGTGTCATTTAATTTAATTGCTTTCCCCAGATAATTCCATCCTATTAGTAATTGAAAATTCTACAGATGTGAAGATGGAGCACGAAGAAGTCCAACTTGTCGAGGAAACAGACCTCCCCGAGGTCAAAGTTGAGCTGGACGAACTCTCCTTCGACTATTGTACCGTCTACTCCCCCGAAGTTCTCGAGATGACGGACCCCTTAAGTGACGTCGCCCACGATCCTCCCACCTCCACTCCGTCAACGTCAACGTCAACGTGGCTCAAAATTACGGCGACACGGTATTTGTACACTTTTTTGCACGCCAATATTTTGCAATAATTTTGTACATTTTTCGCCCTGCAATTTTCTTTAAATATTTTTTCTTACCAATTTTACCCTCAATCTTCCCCTTCAGAAGCATCGCCCCCACCCACGATCCCTCAAGGTCACAAACTTGACACATCTGCGGAAAGCAGTTCCACCTCGTCGCCCACCTCAACAAACACCTCAAACGTCACGACGAATCCAAGCGGCCTGTCTGTGACCAGTGCGGCGAGAAGTTTGTCGACACCAAGAGTTTGACCTCCCAACAGATCAGGGAACACGGCGCTGATCCCTTCATTTGCGAGGAGTGGTAATTATATTTTAAGTCCGTAACCCCGCTACCGGTAACCATCCGTTAATTTTTTCCCTAAAAATAGTGGCGCACGCCTGCTGACTCTACCAGGCTTAAAGTCTCACATGATGTCACACGCAGGGGATACGACTCATCCTAAGCCTCATAAATGTAATGTGAGTTACCGAATCTGGATTACTGTCTACAGAACCTCAAAATTGTTCCCCCCTTGCAGGTATGTCCGGCTAGTTTTAGCAACAAACGATCCATGCAAGATCATGTAAGGACCCACGCTAACGAGCGCCCCTTCCCGTGCCCCCACTGCGACCACGCCTTCAAGCAGAGGAAGGAGTTGACCCGTCACATCAACCGGATCCACACGCCCGGCTACGTCGCCCCGATCCGTTCCCCCTGCCCCCACTGCGATAAGGGCTACACGACCAATTCCTTCCTACAGGGCCACATCCGGCAAGTTCACACGGGGGAGAGACCCTTCCTCTGTGACCAGGCCGGTTGTGGGAAAGGCTTTGCTAAAAATTCGCTGCTTACCTCACATTTGAAAACGGCGCATAAAATTATAATCCGGCGGGTAGGCGGGTTCAAACTGCCAAGATCTAAGAGGATTGAGATTCTGGCTAAAACGCATTGAAAAATAGACAATGTATGGATGTTGTCCGAAGGTTCACATAAAAATAAAGCAACGGAATTAAGGTTAATTAGGTTACTTTATTAAATTGACAATAAAGAAAAAACTTTAATTATTTGACAATAAATTTTAAAAATTGTTTCAATATTTTAATAATCAAGTTTTATAATCAATTTCTACACCCTTTAATTTCTTCCCATGGTTTACCGTTTAAGTTTTACATGTTTGTATTTTATTTCGCATTTGGCTTAATTATTAACTATGATGTATTCCTGACTCAGTAAATTACACAATCATAACATGTATGGTGTCTAGTATTCTATTTAGAATTTTCATCAGACACGATCTGATTCTCTATTCTACCAAATTCTGACTCTGCAAGATGTACTTTGGAATTCGCCTCACAATTCGCCTTAGCAATTTCGCTTCACACCTGCGCAACTCAACCCCTGTGCAATTATTATCAATTTCAATTATTTCACCACCATCCACATCTTCTAATACGACGTCATTGGAAGCGATCTTAATTGAGTCGCACTTGCCATGCAATGCAGTGCAGCTGTTCGAGGATATATTTAGAGCGGAACCTTCCTCAGTAAATCCGGTACAAGTGAAGTTTTCCACCTTGTTGAACTTTGCGTCATGAAATAATAAAACTCCGTACCCTCCATATCCATTACCCTTTGTAAATGAAATATTTTTAAATGAGTTACCCTGGCCACTAGAACAAATTCCTGATGTTATGTTGTTTCCTGTCACATTGCAGATCGTGTTATTGCATGAGTTGTTATATTCAAGGCTTATACATCTACTTAAAATTGTCTCAAGTATCACGCGATCAATTTCATTGTAAGAACCAGAAATTATCATGCCATCGTTCATGTGAGAAATATTTATGCCTTCGAATTGATTATGGTGGCCAGTTACTACAATTCCACTGGATCCATCAGACAGAGAAATGTCATGGAACTTATTTTTATTGCCATATACTTTCAAGCAACACAATCCTGCTTTATATACTTCGCCCTGCTGGAATTTGAGGTTTGAAATTTTATTACCAGTCCCATAAATATAAAATTCACCTTTGATGATGGTTTGTTCTCCTTTACCGATTATTGTGACATTTTCTCCTCTCGTCTCAAACTTTCCCGAATACATACCCTCGATAAGGGTTATTACTAACCCAGGAACCGGACTCTTTAAAAATTCCTCCAATTCTTCACCATTTCGAGCAACTAAATTTATTTTAAAAGTCCACGCTTCAACTATACCACTGACCTCGTCAATGCTTTGAATTCTATCACCTGCCCCTCTTTTTGTTAAGTCAAGGATGAGCTGCTGGACGCCTTGAATCTCTAGATGATCTACAACCAGGTGTTCTTCTTTATCATTTACAAGGCGGTCAAATAGGCGCTTCTTTTCATTGGACTTAAGGAGTTGACAAACTTCCCAAATTACCAACCCTAATGAGTACAGATCAGCTGGAAAACTGTAATCTCTTCCATACGATTCTGGAGCCATGTAGTCAACCGTTCCCATCCTACTGGTCAGAGTACTATTTTGACTTTCTGCCAAACGCAAATTTCTACACAAGCCGAAATCTCCTATCTTAACAGGGAGTGTGAAATTGCTCTTGGCGAACATGACATTTTCTGGTTTAAAATCTCGATGCAAGATGCTGTTTTTGTGTAAATGCGCTAAACCTGCAACCATGTCCTTTATAACTAGGATTTGAACGAGTAAGAGGTTAATCGAGGGAGCCAGTATTTCATTATTCAGCCATTTCCTTAAATCCTCACCACACAGCTCCATCTGGATTGAAACCCCTAATATTGTCTTACTTCCTTTCAACTTATTCCTGCATCTTTCTTTCAAGCCTAAGTAGCCTTCGTCCAATGAAACCCCTAATATTGTCCATCTTTCTTTCAAGCCTAAGTAGCCTTTGTCCGATGGCGATATTTTGTTTGGCATGACACGATTCAAATCCTTAATGGAATATTCATCTCTTGATACTTTAATTATTCTTACAACATTTTCGTGAGGTTTTAAATTTTCCGTGATCTCACATTCTCGAAGTATTTTTTTCAGTTCTTCGTCGTCCTCTTTATCTGGGAAGATAAACTTAATTGCACAAGCAGACCTCTCCAGTTTAGCCCATGCTTCCATGACAATTCCAAATGAACCACGACCAAGACAGGATACGCATTCAAAATATCTTGCTACAGTAGGGCGGGTCGAGGTAAGCCTGGCTTTCTTAGCCTTGGGTTCCATGTCTTACTAAGAGATGGTTTGCTGCAATTAAAAAATTACGTTAATAAATTTATTAAAATACATCACTATGGACTGGAATATTGAATATTAGGTTCCATATAAATAAACATTCGGTATATATAGGTTTACTCAAATCTACATTCAAGTTTACAAATGTACGTTATTATTATTATCAGTTTCACTCAACTACGCCGTATGTATACATCATAAAAATAAAAAATGTTGTCACCATCAATACTTTAACCCTGACATCAAATTGATGGCATCAATTTAACTACCTACACCATTAAAAATTATTTCCTCTTTAACATTGGATGACTTTTACCTTGATTATGTTATCTTATCAATTCTGTTATCAGCATTGCATTCCTGAATGTATGAACAGCCGTACGTTGCAGAGATCGCCCGTGCTACGATCATTACCCCCCCCCATCCATATTCTCATACCAAATATCAAAATACCAAAATCATACCAAAATTCCCCTCCATTTTATCAATCTTTCATTAAAAATTGTAAATAAGTACTCAAAAAATTAAAAACCTGTCCTCAACTAATATATTCAACAATCTAATCATGGTAATCACACTATCCGATGGGCAATAGTATTTCTTGCAAGTATAAAATTGCTTCCTTACCGACCGACTTGATTCCTTAAGTCTTCTGTATTGCAAATTTGTCGTCCAGAACCACTACTGTAAGATTTTTTTAAATCCTTAATTTTCTAAAATCGACTCTTTTACACAATAATGTAATCAACAAGCAGTTTCACCTTTTCCAACAATGCTGTCCTTGGGTACATTATTTTGCAAACTTTGTCATCAACCAATTCCTTGGATATTTTAACCTGTTCTTTTTGATGACTTGAAATGGTTGGACTTTTTTAACGAGTGAACGAATGCATCGACATCATCGACCAAGTTATCCCTGGGTTATCTTATCACTCAGATTTATTTGATTTACTCGGACGTTGGCAAAATACCTACATATCACTCACAAGGCCTAAGCATAGAATATACACTCACACTGATAAACTCAATTATGTAAATGAAAGATATCCCTTGTGCCGTCGTATAATAGCTTCGTACTTTGTAAATATATATGTAGACCTCTACCCAAGCCTTTCTATCTTGTTAGTAAATAAGGTTGGGATATTGGTCACATGATTTGGATGAAACTACAATTACATATTACTCATCAACACAATATGACGAATCTCTATGTAATTTATACTGTGATCTCATCTAACAGGTAACTCATCCAGTCAAATTGGGAAGCCGTGGTAGTTATGCAAAACAGAAATTAACTCCTTATCACACTTACATATTCTACGACTCATATATTTCAAGTATGTAAAATACAATAAGCTCTGAAACCTGGCCACGTCACCACCCAATGCGAAAACTTAGCATCATCTGTGTCAACAGGGGCCGCTTATCTTTCACATACTTACATAAATATATTTATCTACGTAACACCAGGACTGTTGGGATGCCGGGTGAGGCAATCTTTAAAAAACCATGGCAAATATTTGCTGATAACATAATTGAAATATATTAAATACGTGCATAAAAAGCCTTTTCGATGACATTGGGCACGAGCAGTGAAGCATCAAAAGTGAGATCGAAACTCCGGCGGTCTAAAGTGCTGAAAATACATAACGTATTTTTTGCTAGAAGTATTAAATTACGACCATATTTTCAGGTTCTTTTACTAGAAACATTTTAGAAAGGTGTCGTCCACGCGTATTTAGCTGTGTTGCCGTGACAAGTTTCAGCTGCTAACAAGTAAGTAATTTTCTTAATATATAAAAATAAGTATGAAACTATTTTTATTTACATTTTCCTAATATCTGTTCATCATTTAGCTTATCTTTAAAAGTATATCTGGAAAAGACTCGCAAAATATGGACCCCATTCTCCTTCTCCTTTATATTTACGCATTTTTTTTCATCTTTTTCGGAGTTTGGAGCATGTTCGCAATTGCTGCTGACAAAAATGCTGCCGAGGCACGTCAATGGAGGACTTCCGAGTACAAACTTCACCTCGTGGAACTCATGGGGGGCTGGTTCGGAAGTCTGTCTGCTCAACTTTCTTTCCGTAAGAAAATCAAGAAAATTTCTTATCAGATCGTTTTCTGGGCAATTGTCGTCCTCCATATGGCTGGAATTGTGACGGTGTACGTCAACCAGGAAAATATACGGGAATTGTTTAAAAACTTATAAACAAAATCAATGTAGGTTCTGGAGTTTAGGAGAAATCGTCATCTTGCAGACGCGAAATTATCTAAAAAAAATTATTTCTGATTTCCATGTGTTTGTGCTTTCTTAAATTTATCCCACATTAAACTTTTATCATTAAGAAAATCAATCAATCTCATTCTGTAATTTATACATTTAATACAATTTTGTGTATTTTTTTTGCAAGATTCATGAACATATATAAATCGTCATAAAATTAAACCACAATTTAAAATTCATACAAATTTTTTAACACATCATAATTTCCACTAATTTTGTGCAAATATTTTTAACACCAGCAAGTTGCTGGCAGCAACACACCCCGTAAATAATACGTAGTCATATCAATTCACCCAAGTACTGGACCTCCATCCGCCATCACCATGGTAACCGGTCTCTAAATAAATATGCACAGTAAACCAGTTTAACTTGTGCGACGCACTTTTCATTATTACTCCACCGTCTTGCAATGTTATGGTATGAATTTTTAAATTACAGCCAATTCTTGGTAAAAGGTTAAGTGGCCGACCCTGTAATGCCTAATAACATTGAAATTTCAAATCTGAAATACTTTTTCATTTTCCAACCTATTTTAAAAATTTAAACTATTTTGAAAACCTCTGACACCAGGTCAAAATACGTATTGCCAGATTTTGAAATTTCTACCACACCCACATATAATCAAGGTCACAAGGTCAGAAAAATGTCCTTGTTTCTCAACTAATAAGATTAACGCATTATTCAAGCAAATCCATAAAATTCCATAAAATGAGAAAATATATTCAGTACGACCTTAAACGCTGTACAAATCATCCAAATCTCTAGACACCGGAGCCAACTAAAAGTTACAGCTACTAAAAAATTAACAGAATATTGACCGAATTTTTTTGTGAAATTTACACCCTCACAATTTTTGTACTGGAGAAACACGAACTCGTTAAAAACTCAAAGCCTCCTCACGCCTATCCACTATCTCTTTCATCACAAAGTAATAAAAAAATCGCATAATAAAAATAAATAGGTACAACTAATTGTAAGCTCAAATAAATTAACTCTACTCACAATTTGAATTACCGCCGAATTTATTTATTTACTCCGAAAACTTTACTTCTTTATAAATAAATATATTCATCGTAAATCATTGTAATCTCTACTTCCCAAATCGAATGGATAAATCCAACCTTAAAAATGTTATCATTCCTTGAAAACTGTCTCTACCGCCATCTCCGCTTTAAATCCGAGACCAGTCACCACTTCCAAAACCTTCTCCTTCAAATCGTCATCAATATTTTGCTTCGTATTCCAACAGACCCATGATGTCTCCCCGTCCTTCCAAGTGGTCACTCCGACAGCAAAAGTCGCATTGTCAGAAAATACGACGTGATGTTTGTCTAATTATCAAATTAATTCAGAAACCACATAATTAAATTTTAATTAAAAAGTACTCTCTAAAAAATTAGCAAAATCGATTATTACCAGCGGTAACAATATATGAGTCTACCGGAAATGGTATAAATCCAATACCGCCACGGTTGATAATCGCGGTGGTGGCGCTATTATTACCGCTTTGGTAGTACACGTATGACCTCCGCGGTAACAATAGCGCCACCACCACGATAATCTACCACCGCCGCGGTAGTAGATTTCCACCGCCGCGGTAGTAGATTTCCACCGCCGCGGTAGTAGATTTCCACCGCCGCGGTAGTAGATTTCCACCGCCGCGGTAGTAGATTTCCACCGCCGCGGTAGTAGATTTCCACCGCCGCGGTAGTAGATTTCCACCGCCGCGGTAGTAGATTTCCACCGCCGCGGTAGTAGATTTCTACCATAGAATCATCTACCGTCACCGCCGGTAATAAAATTATCTTGAGCCCATTAAAAGTTCCACCTTCTCCAAAAACCATTGTCTTCTCCTCATCAAAAACCAACTTGAACGGGACATCCTTCAACCCAAATCCATGCAGCAGATTCGATTCCATATCCATACAATTATTCGGATTCGCAATATCTTCACTGGTAACTTCACCTACGGATTTCTGCTTCATGAAGGCGGCAGAGCGGATTAAGTCCACTTTACTCCAGTAGGTCCAGTACCACCTTGGGACAGAGTTAAACTATTCATGAAGAAAAAAAAACTAAATTAACTGCAAATTAAATTCAAGGCTAATTCCTTTGTCAGAATAATAAATTAAATTACCCAAGCCCAATCTAAATCTGGAAACGTCTTTGGAATTAAGACACTCCCCTCCAAAAATTCAGTTTCGTCAACCATAATTTTTTGACACGTATTTATTTTGCTCGTGTTGTTCTTGAACTTGGTGGAGTGGAGTGAAGGTCGACTGAGTAGTTGTGAGTTGACTACGTGGATAGATATACTCAATTCAGCTCATGAATTGGAATAAAAAACTCATCATGCCTGGAGCGTCGTTCTACTGCATCAGTCTGGATAATGTTGATCGTCCTTGGTCAACAAGTGGGACGGTATTATACATATCTTAATTTATACATATGTATAGCTCGAGGGATGAAAATGAATAAATCTGCTGCTGTTGATCTTCTGGTGCCAATGTTGTGATAAATAGCTGGTGATGCAAGTTAATGGAGAGTCTATTCTGCACATTTTGTCATTTCAGAAGTCGTTTGCATTTCTGGTCCTGAAAATTCATTGCAGGATAGAATATGCAATTACATAATGCATAAAATCATACGATTTTTCCACAAGCGTCAAATTAATAGAACGCACACCTATTTAGTCGCCATGTATGTGCCTGCAAAAGTGCTGTTTACACGTCGTCTTTTTCACGTAAAATAATCTTGGAATGAAAAGTTCATTCCAATTTACAAAACGGTTCACACGTCAACGGTGAAAATAGCGCGGTATTATCACTCGAGTTAAGATTTATACGATTTCGCATGAAATTTGCGTGAAATGTTTGCACATTATTTCACGTGAAGAAGAGCAAAAACGGCGAACACCCAAAATTTTGTTGCCAGGCAACACAAAATTAGGAACAAACGTACAAATTTTATTCATTTATGACCTGTAAACTGACTCATGGAATTTGCGGGAAATTATCTCATTTCAAACAAATTTAATTCTGAGCTAACTTTTCGTTCCGATGAAATTTCCACGGCAACTTCATTCCGCGCAAATAACTGACGTTTACAAAGCACTAAATAAATAAAAACTTATTTCACTCCGAAGCCATCATAACCTATCCCTTACCGGACTATAAAGGAGTGCGCGGCTTTATTTTTTGGGGAATTAGCGGTGCCAAAAGTTTTTCTTTCTCCCCTCCAAGATAATTTACGTGTCGACGTTATTTCATAGCGAAACCTGGTTTGACCAGAACACGCGAGGAATGATAAAGTGGCTGAATCGATTTGATTTCACCCTTCAATTCATTGGTCGAATTATTGGTTTGCTCCGAAAGTAGAGGAGGGCAAGCAGAGCAATTATCCGGGCGCCTGATCGGACCACTTCGGTTAGTGCGGTCGAACTTCTACTATAAATCACCCCATGGTAATAAAATATGTAAATATATGCAACAGAAACAACATTTGTAATTCACTAATGAAAATGGCATTTCGAAAAATATAAAATCAGATCGATCGATCTGAAGTTATTTTAAGAGATTACTTCATTTCACTCCGTAATCAATTAAACTTGTAGAGAGAGGAAATTAGTAAGGAGCCGTGAGAATGTGGATTTATATTTCCTCCAATTTTCGCCTATATTTGATGTAAAAGTAAGTAGTTTATTTAATGAATTAAAATACTAGTATAGGTAAGCTCGCATCATAATTCATAATCTTCATGATTTTTTAAATTGATATGGCACATTTATTTACATATCATCTAGTTAATTAGATATAAACCACATACGTAGCGGTACTAACTCTTGAAGGTTAAAGTCATCAATCTGTTACTCACAAGGAGTACGGGCTTGCCAACGTAAGTATGACTTTCCTCCATGAATTTTCCAATTCCCACGTCAACAAGTTAAGATCTATCAATTCTCAGCCTTTTTCATTCCTGTAAAGATTTTAAATTTGCAGGTTAAACACAATTATCTACTTATTAGCCTGTTTACTTCCAGACATTGTATATACATATCTGTATGTAAGAACCCGACTAAAGTTAAACAGCGCTGAGGTTTTTATCAAGATTAGGATATGGTAGGTATTAATTGCTCCATAAATAAATATAATGTAATCATACCTGTTCAAAAATTTTTATTCATTCATTGTAAACTTCAATTTAAATTATTTACCCAATCTTCATTTATTTAATGAATTATTCACTCACTCATTATTTATTTCGTACAATTTGAATGAATGTGAACAGGTATGCATGTAATACTATACATGACTACCATAAAGATTAACGTTAAATATCCTCAGCTACCACACATCCCCCTGTATGACTACAAACCGTCATCCTTCCAATGCTAAGCTCCAGCATTGCAGGGATACCCTAGAGAACAGAACTGGGCTGACATATAATTTAACAGGACATGTCTATCAAACCCTGGCTGTCCCACTGACAGAAATATAGACGTAGATTTCCACAAGAAACTATCCCCCCACTACAGTTCTGCACGTCGAGGTTGGTCTCAGTTTGGCGTGAATCGTTCTTGGGTATGGTCGTGTTAAAATATTTGTTTGTCGAGAAATGCTGGAGTTAATTGTGGCTGTTTTTCTCGCCTTTTTGGCGATATGTGTGGGGATTTTGTTCATCTCGGATTGTGATATTTGGACCTATTTGCACATCAAGTTTGGGAAGGATATCGGTATGGGGGAATTAATTATGGGGAATATTTGGCGTGAAATATGAACTGTGTGGGAGTCATGTTTCATAATTTGTAGTATCGCAATTTATACCGTACGAATTCGAACGCCAATTTATTTCAGTAAATTTTGGATTTTCAAGTTTTGACTAGAATTTGCACAAATTTTATTAACATGAAGCATAGAAAGTCATAAATTTGACGTGAGTACGCCAAGGGTATGAAATTTGAGGAAATGTTTTTAATTTCTAGCGACCCGTTTTGAAGGGAAGGTTGTCTGGGTGACGGGAGCATCGTCAGGAATTGGGGAAGGTGAGCAGTTTTTTTTATTTCGGAAAACAATTGAATTTTTTGGTGACGCTTTTTTGTCTGTAAATTTTTTTCAAAATCTTCTTATAAGGCTATCATTCATGAATTTAGTAATACAAAAAACTTTTTATTTAAGATTTATGCAAGATACAGATTTATAATTTTGTCAAATTTTGTAAGTGTAAAATTCTAAAATTGATTTTTTGTCCAGGTATTGCCAAGGAGTTGGTGAAGGTGAAAAATGTGAAGATAATTTTGTCCGCGAGGAGGAATGAGGAGTTGGAGAGGGTGAAGAGGGAGTGTTTGGGTAATTATGCTAAATATTTTGGCAAATTATGTACACCTAATTTTTTGTATGGTATTTTATCATAATTTTTGCACAGCGTTGAACAATTCCACGAAACAGGATGCCATTCTCGTCTTGCCGTTCGACATGGTGGATTACGACAGTCATGCCAAAGCGTTGGAAAAAGTTGTGAAAACTTTTGGAAAGGTGGGTAATTTGAATGATTGGGAGAAATTTGCGAAAATTTAGGTGGCGTTAATTTTTCTGGAATTATTTTATACTAAAAGTTTTTTTATAATTGGTAAGCATTTTTAGGTAGTTTTGTAAACTATGGTGTGCAAAAGTTGGGCATAACTTGCAAAAAATTTAACCTTCAGGATGAAAATTTTAAGCATAATTTTAATTGAGAAATACGTTTTCTAATTGATGGCAACTTTCTAGCTCGATATCCTGATTTCAAACGCGGCCGCCATGGGTCAATTCGCGCTCTGGGAGGAGGCGCCAATTTCCACGGATAAAGCCCTCTTCGACTTGAACGTGTTCTCCCTCGTAAATTTGAACCGGATCGTACTCAACTATTTCAAAAATGAGCGGGGCCGTCAAGGTCATTTGGCGGTGGTGTCAAGTTTGGCGGGGAAAATGGGCTTTCCATACCTCACACCTTATACGCCAACAAAATTCGCGCTGCACGTAAGCAAACATGTTAAATTAGCTTGTTCCCGGGTTCGAATCCTGGCGATCTATTAGTTTTTGCAAAAATTAAGAATATGCAATAATTTCGATATGTCCATTTTACGAAACATTCATCAACTGTAAATTATTTACAAATTAAGATTCTATTTCCAGGGGTACTTTGACAGCTTGAGGCACGAGTTGAGGAAAATGGAACGAATTCACGTCACCCTGCTCTGCCCGGGGCCAGTTGAGACGAATATCTACAACGATACTCTGACCGGGACTGGCGCGGTAAGTTTTAAATAATTCAAACATTTATTTAGTTTTTTTTTTTAAATCTTAGTAAAATTCCTAAAAATATGAAAATTTTTTCAGCGCTTCAAGCTCACAATGATGTCCACATTAACAAGAAACGCTATGACTACCGCGCGATGTGGCGAAATTTGCCTGGCCTCGATTGCAAATAAGTTGGAGGAATCGTGGATGGGGCCGCTACCAAATTTGCCATTCATGTATCTGGCGGCCTATCAACCTTTCTTGTTTTCAAAGTGAGAAAAATCGCGGTAAAAATATGACAACGGCCAATGTTTCAGATTCAATTGAATCATTCAATCGCTAGATTAAAATGTAAAATATAGCGGCGTTCGCGGGATTTAGACTCCGAGCTTCTAGTGAAGCGATAAATTTGTCATAGTAAAAGCGGTAGAATTAAAATTAATTTTTGTTCCAACCATAAATATTTTTCAAAAATTAGTTTGAGTCGTAATGCCTATTGGTGTTTTAAATTAACTAAATTATTTTTCCTTTTATAGATTAACCGCCTACACGATGAAATTTATGCTGCTGGACGAAAAATAAGCGGAGCGGGAAGAAAAGCGATGTCACCTTTTAATTTTGTATGAACATACTTATCTTCTCTAAAAGTATGATGTAGTTAAAATAAATAATAAAATAAATAATGAGAAAAAACAATTAGAGATAATTATCGGTAAAATAATACCAGAGCAGGGTTATCATCGACTGATTTATTCTCACGAGAAATCCCAAAATATTCTCGGGTTGAATAAGTATTGAAATATTACCTCATATTTACCATCCATATACAAATTTTTTTAATTAAATTAATCAAAAATCAAAAGGTAAGTCAATTTTAAAAGATGTGCCGCCCATTGTCCCATCATTTTCAAGAAATTGGCCTCTACTTAACCCTCTGTATCCTACCGACAACACAATATCCACACGAAATAAGAACCAACCAAGCAATCGGCGTTAAGAAAGCCACCCTCACAACTAAATGCCCCAAACCCCACCCATTATTGAACACTCGTCTCATCGCCACCATCGGCAGTGAGATTGGATTCAAATAGTAGAACATCCAGCGGAAGTGTGCATTGACAGCTTCCAGCGGCCAGAAGGATCCTAAATTGAAATAAATTAAAATATAAGCTTCAAAAAACATTATTTCCAAATTACCTGAAGGTATGCCGCATATCAAGATGAAAAATATTATGGTAACAATCGTTTCCCTTAACTTTGAAAAAATAGAGGCGGCCAGCATTGCTATTAAAGGAAATTTAGCACACCCTAAATAATTTGCTGAGTCGTTTATTACCAGCGGTGACGATATATGAGTCTACCGAAAATGGTAAAAATTCATTACCGCAGCGGTGGTAGATTTTGGTGGTGGTGGTGCTATTTTTAGTAACAATTTGTTACCGCTTTGGTAGTAAACATATTACCGCAGCCGTAACAATAGCGCCTCCACGATGATAATCTACAACCGCCGTGGTAATGAATTTCTACCATTTCCGGTAGACTCATATTTCGTCACCGCTGGTAATAAAATTATTTAAACTAAAGTATTTTTGCATACCTAACGACATCGTGACAACACTGGATAGTAGCGCCATGACAAAGCACGTTCCTAAATTTCCCCTAACCCCGTATCCGACCAGGGCGAATTGAACCGCAAATATGGCCCCGACTTGCAAAATAGTCATGGACGTTTCAGAAATAAAATAGGAAATGTAGACTTGCCGCATTTTCACTCCTGCCGCCAGCGAACGGGCCAACGTCCCTTGTTCTTTCTCCGTCGAGAGGAAAATGCCGGCAGACATTGAGAGAAAAAAGGTTGTCCTGTTGGTAAACATTTAAAGATAAGTTTTTTGTGTCGTATTGTGGTTATCATCTTATTTTATCTGGTAATAAGATAAGATAGGAAAGTTGGAGTGAGGGGTCTCGAACAGTAGTTTGGGAGATGGGCCCCCACTTTAAAAAATCTGGACGATTACGTCATCCTAATAATTAAGGCCAGAAATCGTTCCCAAAATCTCGACTCGCCTTTAGTAAACTGACCCAATCTCATCTCATTGCTATCGTCCTATTTTTTATCAAAAATTCAAACTTTGCACTTACAAATTACATTGGCTGGAAGGATATATTCTTGAAATGTAAATTCGTGTGGATCCAGTTTTCTGTTGAACTGTAAATAAATTTGACGAAATTTTTTAGTTGATTAAATTGTTTTGTCATCTGATAAAATCATCTTAAGACTTACAGTAAATGGTAATTTGAGAAGGTTAGGATTAATTTCTATTCTTGTCTCATTAACGATCCCTTGAAGGAATCTCATATAACTTAGTTGAATCATGCTGATCACGAAATTGGTGTTTATCGTATCTAAGAAATAATAATTCATGTCACAATTTCAGTAATAGTTAATAAAGTTAGTAATTTTTTACTCGTCATATCCATCCGAACTTTAATCGTACTCTGCCGCAAATCAATTTCTGGGGTGAATCTGTCAAAAACAAATCTGTGCCTAGTACTGACTGTGAAATTTGCGGGAATTTCAACAGCCCCTATTGCTCCACCAGTTTCGACAGCAGCCAAAGCTGAGGTGCCTGACCTATAATATTTCTAGTAAGGATACAACAATTTAATTTCATTAGGAAAAACTTTTGGACATTTAAAATTGAATCGCATCTCATTCTGTTACTGGTTTTCTAAGAAATCCGCTTACCAAATTAAATTTTCCCGCCCCTTCTTCAAGTTCCTTAAGAAAAGCACAACCCCATATCGTCCAATTATCCCCCAATAGACTATAATTCATATTATTCTTTCCACCGAAACAATTTCTTTCTTGGTTATACACAGCCAACCTCATTCCGACAGGATCTCTGCCAAAAATGTAAAAGATTGCTATGACCTGGATAACCGGCAGGAGCAAGAATGTAGCCAAAACCCTGTAATCGTAATTTCTTATAAAATATTGCTTCCTGTGTAGATGCGCAGTGTGTACTTACTCCGGTGTGCGCAGGTGAAGAAGATAATTCCGTTTCGTTAGAATTCTAACTTTTTCAAACTCCTCAACAATTTTTGACTTCTTTGGAGTTTCCGCCTTCTCAATAAAAATATTTTCTAGCGAGGCTTCAGTTTCGTCTTTTTCCTTAAAACGGAAAGATAATGGGCTACACTTATCGGATTCCAGTCCTGCCAAGGGATACTTGTATCTTGATATTTTAGCTAGTGTAGAATGATTATCGATGGACTGTAATTTTTTCTCCTCGTCCATTCTGGCAAGGGATTTCAGCACGACTTCTAAAATCGGAGTGCCGTACGACTCCAGGAGATTGTTGGGATTATCTTCGCAAATTAAGCGACCCCTCCGCATTATGCCGATCTGGACATGATCATTGGTAAATTTGTTTATAATACCTTATTAAGATGGGGAAATTGTACCCTAAGTCGTTTATTACCAGCGGTAACGATATATGACTCAACCGAAAATGGTAGAAATCAAGTACTGCGGCGGTATTAGATTTTCGGGGTGGTGGCGCTATTGTTACCGGTTTGGTAGTACAGATATAACCGCAGCCGGAAAAATAGCGCCACCACCACGAAAATCTAATACCGCCACAGTAGTAGATTTCTACCATAGAATCAGATATCGTCACCGCTGGTAATAAAATTATTTAAAGTGTATCTTTTATATCTGTATATTGGAAAACCTTATCACATTTCCTCGCCTCTTCAGCATAATGCGTCGTGACAATGACCGTTGTTCCCAACGTGACTACCAGACCACCAATATAGTCCCAAATACTATAATTTCCCATAAAGTATATCACTTTTCCACAATTTGAAAACTCCGCCACAACCTTACCCCAATCTTAACAAGGGATCAATTCCGTCGTAGGCTCGTCCAGGATCAAAAGTCTGGGGCGATTTAACAACGCGACAGCAAGCGAGACACGACGAAGCTGTCCGCCGCTATTTTCAAATATTTTTAGAAAGCGCCAAAAATTGAAAAACTAATAAAATGACTCCACCTTAACGTTTTGACGGAGAGATTCCCATCCTCCAAATTCAGAACGGTACTCAATTCCCGAATTCTGACCCCTACCTCGATCTTACTAAGGCCTTGAAGTGTTCCAAAGTATTCGAATATTTCCCTAATTCTTAACGGATACAGGGCAACTTCCTAAAAAAGTAACGATTAAATTTAAGTCCTCAATGTAATTAATTTTTTAGACCAACCTGGGGCATGTGTCCAATCGAGGTAAGAAGTTCCTCTCTCGATCTACAGGCATCCCTTTCTAGGACGGAAATATGGCCCGAATCCAGGGCAATTTGACCCATGATACATTTCAAAAGTGTCGTCTTTCTACACGATAAATTCTAAACGATCATAAATATTCACGGTAAAAGAAAAACAGGTGGAATCTCGACTAACCCACAACCGCTCTCGCCTAAGAGTCCATAACTACATTAAGATTTCAGAAAATGTCAAATTAATGAAATTTTTAATTAAAAAAAATCCATTTAAACTAAAAGTTCCCCTTACATCTTTCCATGTTCGACCTGCATAAACATATCTTTCAGGACGGGTTCTCCTGCAGAATAACTTTTACACCCGTTCGAAACCCGGACCGCGCAGGGGGTCATCCTTCCAGAAAAATGTTTTAAATAATTAAAAAAAACTCAATTTCAAGTCAAAATTTAAGTGATTAGTTCCATGAACTCCGCAATCAATTAGACGTGTCGAGAGACGAAATTCGCAAAGATCTGTGAGAATATATAAAGTTACGTTCGCACCCATACTTCATGTAAAAGTAAGTAATTTATTTAATAAATTAAAATAAATATTAGTATAAGAAAATTCACATCATAATTTATAATTTTCACGATTTTCGCAATTGATATCGCACATTTATTTACATATCAACTTCTTAATTGGATATCGCAAACCATACACTAACTCTTGAAGGTTGTACTCCCATAAGAAGTACTGAATACAAGTCACGTACTTTTTACGACTTTCCTCCACGAACTTTCCAGTTCCCACAGAAACAAATCAAGTAAGATCACATCAATTTCTCAGCCTTTGTAGCAAACATTTTACATTTGCAGGTTAAAGGAAAGTATTTATTGACCAGTTCTACTTCCAGACGTAATCTCTGAGACATTGTATGTAGGTAATTAGTGCGTAAGTAAATATAATGTTCATGGAATATTATATGATTACTTTAGAGATTGGCATTAAATTTCTTTAGGTACTACACAAATATTCGCATGATACATAAAAATCTACTTAAGAACTTCTAAGTAAGTAATACTTACTTAAGAATTACGCTTCCACGACAACACGTATTTAAACTATTTAAATGTTATTTATTACAATAATAAATAACATTTTGAATAGTTTTCGGCAATCAATGAATAAGTCGATTAACGAGTTATCATCAGCGTAGGCGAGGTAATGTTAAGGGGCGAGGGGGGCATGCTTCATACTTTTAAATGCACCTATCTTACCTTAGATCTTGGATTTCTTCAAGTCATGTTTACACATTTAAGCCATTGGTGGAACGTGTAAGAAGAATTTACAGATCCGAAATGATAATGGTACTTAAATATGATAAGTTTTCTTAACTTATGAACGATGCACTTAATGGAAAAATGTACACTTAATCTAATCATTAGATTAAGTGTATCTGAACAGGTATCTGAACTGTAAAATTCTTAACTTCTTGATATGACATTAGATTCTAATGTCATATCAAGAAGTTCAGAATTTTTACATGACCCCGGATAAAAACTTCGGCCTGATCGCATCGAGCCTGATGGCACATAATATTAATTTTCCACAATTTAACTATACATAGGTTTCTGCTCTAGTATTTCGTGCAATTTTAAGCAATTTCTTTTTCACTTCTGCAATTTCTTGCACAGTCCAGCACAAAATCAATTTATAGACAAAGCTAACTATGCTAAGCATCTTCCTATAAACATAAACTCAATCGTCCCACCGCTCGAGTAGAATTACGTCCATAAATAAAACCTGGCCAAGAATACACAAAGAATATCCTGTAACAAAGCCGTGAGTTCATTTCATTTCCTCCTTTATCCAAATGTTAAATAGATATCAGTTAACAAAACTGGTTTAAAAAACGAGTGAATCTAACTAATAAAAATTCAATCCACTAACCTGGTACACATCCCTCTGTACGCAAACATAATCCCGATACCTTGGGAATTTCTCTAGTTGGAATTCAACCCATGTGCATCTCACAACTTCTTAAATATTCGCGTGAAAACTTAGAATGAAATCCCTCCTCAGAAATTTGATGCTGTTCCTTGCATCAATTTTTACATCGACCTTCATTCTCCCACTTGTTATCCTCCTTGTCATATTTCCACTAATACTGTACAGAAAACTCATCTTATCCCTGGCCTCGTACAAGACAGATCTCTACCGTCACCTAAATGTCTCGAGCAGTGTCTTTTCTTGGGATGACATGTACCGAAGGCCGACATGCTCGATCTGTTTGGCGCTCTATTTAAAAAATAAGCACGACATAAATCAAGTAATTGGCAGGTTGGAGTCAATCGTAGAAAAAGTAAGTATTTATTATTTTAAATTTTTGAACTTCCCGCCGTAAATAAATTTAATCCTTTTTTTAGTATCCCGAACTATCCTGCACTTTACACCGCTGGATGGGAACCATCTTCTGGAAGAAATCCCCAACCTTCCAACTTTCCCGCCATCTCACCATCAATGAGGAATCCGACCCAGAAAAAATCACCCACTACTTGGACACCCTCCCTGAAAAACCGTACCGAAAAGACGCCCCCTTGTGGGAATTCGTGTCACTGCCAAATTATGAAAATGGCACCAAGTCTGCCCTGATTTTGCGCCTCCACCACTCCCTTGGCGACGGGTTGGCCTGCATCTCAGTTTTGAGCGACTTCTGCGACAATAAGGGGGGTCACACCGTATTGGAAAATATTAAGGGAAAATTCCACAAGAAAAAACCACCATCTTGGCCGCGAAGATTTTTGAATTTCCTCCAACTAATCTTCATCACTCCGACGGAATTTGCGTACCTTTTGCTGAAAGGGATTGATTCGAATCCCCTCACGATTCAGGTACCTGACCGGAGTGGGGAAATGTCCGATGTAAGTGCGGTTTTTTTAAATATTTTTTTAAATCGTTAAAGATTTTTTGAAATAATTTTCAAAAATAGGTCATAACCTCGTCGCACTGGATATGACGGACCTGAAGCAAATTTCGGCCAGAACTCGGACCAATGTGACGTCCCTCATGTCCGCCGGAATTGCTGGGGTAATGAGAGAAATTATGAGGAAAAGAGGGGCAAACCGAGACGCGACGGCACTCTATGTTCTCCCAAATATTTCCAGTCATCCAGGAACTTTAACGAATAATATGTAGGAGTATTTATAAAATGAGTAGTTATTTAAATTAATTGAGTTAATATTTGTATTTCTTGCAGAATCGTGGTCCCAATGCGCATGCCCCTCTTAGAGGCCTCAAGGGAGGAAAGACTTCTCCAAATCTCCAACCAATTTCGTCACTTTTTCAACTCCACCCTGCTCGTCGGGGCTGCCGCTGTTTTTAGCGGGAACGCCCTAGTTGCCAGCATTTTAAAAAAGGAAGTAGTATTTCCCGCCGCGGTGACCTTGGTGCATTCTAACATCGCTATTTTTGAAGAGGATGGATGTGAATTTTTTGGGAATCCTGTCGAGCGGGTGCTGCCCATTGTTGGGCTGCTGCAAACATCCTGCTCCCTCATGATCACTAATCTTAGCTACAAGGGGAAAATGGGAATCTCTGTAACCGCGGATAAAACGCTATTCTCGGACAAAGAGGAGTTGGAAGGAGTCATTAACGACATCACTGACGAGATTAACAAACTTGGTCAGATTAAATAATTCCTAAAAATATAAGCAACTTCAAGCCGGCTTGGTTTTTATTCAAGGTCCTACAACAAAATCCTGGCGCAAAATTCCATCAATAAAATCATCCTGAATAATTTTCAACGATTAAAAAAATACATTTGAGTATCAAACTGTTAAACTTTCTTCCAGATGTAAGCATTTGTGTAATTAAAACTATATTAACCCGCAAATACTGTAAGAATAACTAATTATCGTTCATATTTTAGTATTGTTCTATAATAAACTTGTTTTCTACTTTGATTGCGATGCCGAAACTAAGCATGTTGTTTTTGTAAATTTATGTATTTCCCAGTTTTTATTAAATCCATTAAATATGACGCAGTTTCCCACTTTGCCTGTATTTGAGTAAGTTCAGATTACATAGATAAATTATTCAGCTACGCATTTATAGGTGCTCGAGCTCACTATTGAGGTTATAAGTAGATCCTCTGTGAACAGTCTCTTCTGTTAGCCATGATAAAAAAGAGTTATAAAAATACGCAATAAAAATAGTTATAAAATTTATCTATGTTTGATAAGTCAACTTACAATACCTAGTGTCTGCATTGTACATATAATTTAACAGGCTGTGAATTTTTACCGAGGTGTACATATTTCTCCATCAATTAAATTCACTGATTAAGTCTTTATTTCTTTATTTATTTAAATTTGTAATTACAGACCGACATAAAAGGCAGGTTATCCATGTTGGTTTATTCCAGTGGGAAATACTTACTCCATCGGAATTCCTTCATGGTTGTGCAACATCCTCTACCTAATGGTGTAAAGTATGATTAAACAGCGTAATGGGTGGTGGTGCGACACATTGTGTCTAATTTTAACAACTAGGCTACTCTGGGTGCCCGTGGGACCAAGTGCAATCCCATCATTTGCTTCGGATATAATTAAAAATATATTTTAGCGGAAAAATAGCGCATATCCCTTTAACTATTCGTAAATCAAAATTTAATGTGACACACCCACCTCACGTTTCCGAAATTTCATAGTTCACACAACAAATCACGTTAGTGACTTCTGGTTGATTTAATATGTTGGAGTGATTAATACATTGAAGGGATGCGTCTGGGACAGACAGACAGATAGACCGATCCGGTAAATATATAAGTTGATACATTCATGCCGATTCGTATCATATTTGGTATCCACCGGTTCAAAAGATTTCCCATTGTGTAAGTAAAAAAATATAGCTGCTTCTTATCTTAAGTGATATGCCATGTGATTATGATAATACGAGTTTAATGACTTAAATTATTACTAAAAAATTTATAGAGATGTTTTTAATGAAGATGTTTCTCATCGCTTCACTTTTGAATGGGTTCCACGGCAACCTTAACGAATCACGTAGATTTGGTTTTCTACTCTGAGCACCTTCTTTGTGATATATAAAGGTTGTTCTCCATTATAATTAGTGTCAGACCGCTTCAACGTCGAAAAAAATAAAAATGGGAGAAGTCTTCGCTAAGAAAACAAATTCCGTTTGGTAAGATTTTTTGATGCATTATCCATCTAACTTACGGTAGTCAGTTTACTCACAATTTTTTTAATATGGCTTGTTATCTGCGGTAACTAGATATGACTCTACCGAAATGGTAGAAATCTACCACAAGGTAGATTTTGGCATGCGCTACCATCGCTGTTATAATAACGTCACCACCACCAAAATCTACCACTGTTGCTGTGGTAAATTTTTACCATTTCGGTAGTCATATCGGTAACGGCTGTATCACTAGATATTTTAGTGTACTATTTGTTAAACTGGTCTGTATTCTGTCAATATTTCCAGAACTCACAAATATCTAAACATTTAAAAAAATTTCCTAATACATTATTTTAATTTCAGTCCTTCGGAATTAAACATAGAAGAATTCTTCCTAGATTTGAAAGGCGCCCGTACCATCCCTCCCGCTAAGATCGACCCAGATCGCAAACCTCCCGCTTGGCTAGATTTCAACTTAGCGCGAAGAGGTCAACAATTCGCTAGAAATAACCTCCCCTCAATTTCCATCTCACACATGTTCGGTCTCGCAAGTAGTCCTTATACCGATGGCATCGACATCTTGCTCCTTTCTGGAAACTTTTCCACCCCGGCAAGCGCCACTAAGCGGTACACCTCAACCATTACCGAGATAATCACGTGGTATACCGATCCCTTCTGGGAGTCTGGATCAGATGGAAATATTACCGATATTTATAAAAGGTTTGCCCAAATTTCATAATATTTTTAAAAAAAAACTCGACTCTTTTTACTAATCGTATCGATACTTACAGTTTAAACAGAGTCCGCGCCCTGCATTCCGCTCTTGCCTGCGCCGCTTCAAAAAAAATCTCCCGCGGAGAAATCCTATCCGACGCTAATGAATTTTTCGACTATATCCCCACCGCCGCGTGGGCCGCCGCTAAGAGGGATCTTAACGATTCAAACATCCCGCCAAGCCAGCGCGGTATTGCGCCATCTAACGAGAAAATTTGTAACGCCGTCCCATTCAACCAGCAAATCCTAGCCCTCATCCAATTCGCCTTTATCGGCTTTCCCATCCTTTTTCCTGAACGGCTCGGAATTTCCTGCCCAAATGAGGACGACCTTTCCGCTTTCAACCATCTCTGGGCAATCCTCGGATATTTGGTAGGCATCGAAGATAAGTACAACATCGCACTTCGCCCCAATTTGAAATCAGCGCGGGAAGTTTACCGCGGGATATTTGAACGGTACGCTATCCCGAGTCTATTCCATGCCGAGAAGGATGCCATTTTCGTGGCAGATGTTACGTTTCAGGTTTCAAATAAAGTTAATCTTTAAAAAATAGAAGAATAATACTTAATTTGTGACATTTTCTGTCCCAATTTGTTCCTAAAAAATCCAGGGTCTTCAAGGAATTACTTCCATCTCGCCAAACATTCTGATGTACTGGACACTTAAGGACATTCTCCAAATTCAAGCCACCAACACTTACAAGGCCTTGACCTTTACAGAAAAAATAATTAGTGCCGCCAAGGACCACGTGATGTTTGATGTCTTGAAAAACCCAATTTCTAGAAAATTATCCACGTTTTTCTTACTCAATACCCTCTTGGTGGTTGGAAAGGAAAACTTTGGTCCGCAATATGCAAAACGGTTTGATAGCATTAAGAAATCGTTCGGTTTCTCTAAGGGGTATGAGTACTTTGGGCGGGTGGTATTCGGACTAGTTTGGTTATACAAAATAATTTTGGCCGCGTTTATTTTCGTTTATAAGGCTTTCTAAGGGACGTTCTGTGCCAGATACGATTGAAATTATGAAGGAATTGTTCACTATGTATTTGTAAATATTTTACTCATTTAACTCTGCAAATTTGTTTAAATTTTCAAGTGTGTAAACATCTTACTTGCAATTACAAATTTTAACGTAAATTTTACCAAGGGTTTCCATGTTTTTTCTTATGAGTTTCGGAACTTGTTTATGTAATTGAGGGAGTGAAACTATTAATAAAAAATATGGAAAAATTTATGAATTCTTTAAAATGACAGCATTTAATAGGCTATAGCAATCTAGGGATGCCATTTAGAAAGTTAAGATGTTATCGACCAGATTTTATTTTCGATAAAATTCACTTAGAGTTTCGCAATTTGACCTCAAAGTAGGAAAAAATGCTCTTTTTCAGCGTGCGAGGTCAACCAATTTCTCGTTCCCTAGCTCAACTCGCTTCCACACTTAAGTTGCTATACCACAAACCACAAAAATAATTGGCAATCACCGCCAGTAATAAAACATGGGTGCAATTAACCAGACATAAAATTTTAACCTTACTAATTTTGCGTAATATGAAACAAATTCATTCCCTATTTCTTTAAGAATTATGAAGTCTTAAATTACATAATACTGGCATTTAACAAGTTCATAGCGTGGGTTAATTATTTTCTGGAAATGCGTAATTTCACATTTCCTAAAAATTCATAAATTTCCTGAAAAATACTTATTTCTGCATAGCGTTCCTCATGCATTTCTCGTTGTTCACTTGAGCAGCCTGAATCTCACTGATCCCGGTTTTGGCACGAATTCAATCCCACCTGGTTCGCAAAACATTACACTCTACTTTCACTTTCAATTAAATATTTAATTCCTCATGTTAGTAATTAACTAATAATTAAGAGAATTTTAAAGTGAGTAAGTTAATTTATTTGGTAGTAAATTAATCTCGGATTAAACGCAGGTAAGTCAACAGATTTTTCCATCTTACAAAATCGTAAATTATTTACTTTCTCCAACATTTGTGTCACTTAACTTAATTATTTTCCTCAAATAATTCCATCCTGTTAGTAATACGAAATTCTACAGATGTGAAGATGGAGCACGAAGAAGTCCAACTTGTCGAGGAAACAGACCTCCCCGAGGTCAAAGTTGAGCTGGACGAAATCTCCTTCGACTATTGTACCGTCTACTCCCCCGAAGTTCTCGAGATGACGGACCCCTTAAGTGACGTCGCCAACGAGCCTCCCACCTCCACTCCGTCAACGTCAACGTCAACATGGCTTAAAATTACGGCGACACGGTATTTGTACACTTTTTTGCACGCCAATATTTTGCAAGCTCGTAATAATTTTGTACATTTTTTGCCCTACAATTTTTTATAAATATTTTTTCTTACCAATTTTGCCCTCAATCTTCCCCTTCAGAAGCATCGCCCCCACCCACGATCCCTCACAAACTTGCCACATCTGCGGAAAGCAGTTCCGCCTCGTCGCCCACCTCAACAAACACCTCAAACGTCACGACGAATCCAAGCGGCCTGTCTGTGACCAGTGCGGCGAGAAGTTTGTCGACACCAAGAGTTTGACCTCCCACCAGATCAGGCAACACGGCGCTGATCCCTTCATTTGCGAGGAGTGGTAATTAAATTTTAAGTTCGTAACCCCCCTACCGGTAAACCATCCCTTAATTTTTTCCCTAAAAATAGTGGCGCACGCCTGGTGACTCTACCAGGCTTAAAGTCTCACATGATGTCACACGCAGGGGATACGACTCATCCTAAGCCGCACAAATGTGACGTAAGTTACAGAATCTCGATTAATGTCTACAGAACCTCAAAATTTTCCGCCCCCTTGCAGATTTGTCCGGCCAGTTTTAGCAACAAACGATCCATGCAAGATCACGCCAGGACCCACACTAACGAGCGCCCCTTCCCGTGCCCCCACTGCACCTACGCCTTCAAGCAGAGGAAGGAGTTGACCCGTCACATCGACCGGATCCACACGCCCGGCTACGTCGCCCCGATCCGTTCCCCCTGCCCCCACTGCGATAAGGGCTACACGACCAATTCCTTCCTACAGGGCCACATCCGGCAAGTTCACACGGGTGAGAGGCCCTTCCTCTGTGAGCAGGCCGGTTGTGGGAAAGGCTTTGCTAAAAATTCGTTGCTTACCTCACATTTGAAAAAGGCGCATAAAATTATAATCCAGCGGGTAGGCGGGTTCAAACTGCCAAGATCTAGGAGGATTGAGATTCTGGCTAAAACGCATTGAAAAATAGACGATGTATGGATGTTGTCAAAAGGTTCGCATAAAAATAAAGAAACGAAGTTTAGGTTACTTTATTAAATTATCAATAAAGCAAAAACTTTAATTATCTGAAATAATTTTTTTAAATTGTTTCAATATTTTAATAATCAAGTTTTATAATCAATTTCTACACCCTTTAATTTCTTCCCATGGTGTACCGTTTAAGTTTTACATGTTTGTATTTTATTTCGCATTTGGCTTAATTATTAACTATGATGTATTCCTGACTCAGTAAATTACACAATCATAATATGTATGGTGACCTAGTATTCTATTTAGAATTTTCATCAGACACGAAGTCATTCTCTATTCTACCAAATTCTGATTCTACAAGACGTACCTTAGAATTCGCCTTTAGCAATTTCGCTTTACACCTGGTCAACTTAACTTCTCTGCATTCATCACCAATTTCAATTATTTCACCACCATCCACATCTTCCAATTCGGCGTAATTGGAGAGGACCTTTATCGAGTCGCACTTACCAAATAATGCAGTGCAGTTGTTCGCGGATATATCTAGACCTGCACCTAGTTTTTTAAATCCGACACAAGTGAAATTTTCTAAACGGTTGTACTGCGCGCAGGGGCCGCGGAACCGTGGGGGCGTGGGGATAATGCCCCCATCGAAATTTTGAAACCTCATATCCCTTCCATGTTAACAAGCCCCTCCCCCCGATATCCCACAATGTTCAAGCCCCCAAATGCCTTCACACGTTCCGCGGCCTGTGACTGCGCGTTAGGAGATAATAAAATTCCGTCACCTCGATATCCATTACCCTTTGTAAATGAAAAATTTTTAAATGTGTTATCCTGGCCACTAGAACGAATCCCTGATCCTACGTTGTTTCCTGTCACATTGGAGATCGTGTTATGATGTGAGTAAAATTCAAAGCTTATACATCTACTTGAAATTGTCTCAAGTATTACGCGATCAATTTCATTGTAAGAACCAGAAATTCTCATGCCATCGTTCATGTGAGAAATATTTATGTCTTCGAATTGATTATGGTCGCCAGTTACTACAATTCCATATGATCCACCAGACAGAGAAATGTCATGAAATTTATTTTTATTGCCATATACTTTCAAGTAACGCAATCCTGTTTTATATACTTCGCCCTGCCGGAATTTGAGGTTTGAAATTTTATAACCAGTTCCACTAATATTAAATTCACCTCTGATGATGGTTTGTTCTCCTTTACCAATTATTGTGACATTTTCTCTCTTCATCTCAAACTTTCCCGAATACATACACTCGATAAGGGTTATTTCTAACCCAGGAACCGGATTCTTTAAACATTCCCGCAATTCTTCACCATTTCGAGCAACTAAATTTATTTTAAAAGTCCATGCTTCAACTATACCACTGACCTCGTCAATGCTTTGAATTCTATCATCTGCCTTTCTTTTTGTTAAGTCAATGATGAGCTGCCTGACACCTTGAATCTCTGGATGATCTACAACCAGGTGTTCTTCTTTATCATTTATTAGGCGGTCAAATAGGCGCTTCTTTTCATTGGACTTAAGGAGTTGACAAACTTCCCAAATTACCAACCCTAATGAGTACAGATCAGCTGGAAAACTGTAATCTTTTCCAAACGACTCTGGAGCCATCTAGTCCAGTGTCCCCATCCTACTGGTCAGAGTACTATTTTGACTTTCTTCCGAACGCAAATTTCTACATAAACCGAAATCTCCTATCTTAACAGGGAGTGTGAAATCACTCTTGGCGAACATGACATTTTCTGGTTTAAAATCTCGATGCAAGATATGGTTTTTATGTAAATGCGCTAAACCTGCAACCATGTCCTTTATAACTAGGATTTGAACGAATAAGAGGTTAATCGAGGGAGCCAGTATTTCCTTATTCAGCCATTTCCTTAAATCCTCACCACACAGCCCCATCTGGATTGAAATCCCTAATATTTTACCACTTATTTTCAACCTATTTCTGCATCTTTCTTTCAAGCCTAAGTAGCCTTCTTCCGATGGCAATATATTATCTGGCATGACACGATTCAAAGTTGTCATGGAATATTCAGCGCTTGATACTTTAATTATTCTTACAACATTTTCGTGAGGTTTTAAATTTTCCGTGATCTCACATTCTCGAAGTATTTTCTTCAGTTCTTCGTCGTCCTCTTTATCTGGGAAGATAAACTTAATTGCACAAGCAGACCTGGCCAGTTTAGCCCGTGCTTCCATGACAATTCCAAATGAACCACGACCAAGACAGGATACGCATTCAAAATATCTTGCTACAGTATTGAGGGTCGAGGTAAGCCTGACTTTCTTAGCCTTGGGTTCCATGTCTTACTAAGAGAAGGTTTGCTGTAATTAAAAAATTAAGTTAATAAATGTATTATAATATATTAGTATGGACGGGATTATTAAATAATATAAATAAAGATTCGGTATATATAGGTTTACTCAAATCTACATTCAAGCTTGCAAATCTACATTATTATCAATTTCACTCAACTACGCCGTATTTAGGCATCACCACTTTAACCCTCACATCAAATTGATGGCTTCAATTTAACTACCTATACCATTAAAAATGTTTCCTCTTTAACATTGGACGAATTTTACCTTGATTATGTTATCTTATCAATTCTGTTATCCGCATTGCATTCCTGAATGTATGAACAGCCATGCATTGTAGAGATCGCCCTACCCGTGCTACCTTCATTGCCCCGCCCCCCGGATTTTACCAAAATTCTCCTCCATTTTATAATTCTTTCATTAAAAATTGTAAATAAGTAATAAGTAAATTATAAACCTATCCTCAACTAATATATTCAACAATCTAATCACGGTAACCTCACTAGCCGATGGGCAACGTATTTCTTGCAAATAAGGTGTAAAATTGCTTCCTTACCGACCGACTTGATTCCTTAAGTCTTCTGGATTGCAAATTTGTCGTCCAGAACCACTACTGTAAGATTTTATAAATTCTTAATTTTCTAAAATAGACTCTTTCATACAATTATGTAATCAACAAGTAGTTTCACCTTTTCCAACAATGCTGTCCTTGGATAGAGTATTTTGCAAACTTTGTAATAAATCAATTCCTTGTATATTTTAACCTGGCTGTTTTTGATGACTTGAAATGGTTGCACTTGTTTAACGAGTGAACCAATGCATCGACATGGTCAACCAAGTTATCCCTGGGTTATCTTATCATTCAAATTTACTTGATTTACTCGGACGTTGGCAATATACCTAGTAGGTATTACCTGCATCTGCATATCACACACAAGGCCTAAGCATAGAATCTACCCTCACATTGATAAACTCAATTATATAAATGAAAGATATCCCTTCGGCCGTCATATAATAGCTTCGTACTTTGTAAATATATATGTAGACCTCTACCCAATCCTTTCTACATATGTAGTTAGTAAATAAGGTTGGGATATTGATATTGGTCACATGATTTGGATGAAACTACAATTACATATTACTCATCAACAAAACACGACGACAGTCTATGTAATCCATATCTGTGATCTCATCTAACAGGTAACTCATCCAGTCAAATTGGAAGCCGTAGTAGTTATGCATAACTGAAATTAATTCCTTATCACAATTACAATTACATACTATGTCCGACTCATATATTTCAAGTATGTAAAATACAATAAGCTCTGAAACCTGGCCACGTCACCACCCAATGCGAAAACTTAGCATCATCTGTGTCAACAAGGGCCGCTTATCTTTCACATACTTACATAAATATATTTATCTACGTAACACCAGGACTGTTGGGATGCCGGGTGAGGCAATCTTTAAAAAACCATGGCAAATATTTGCTGATAACATAATTGAAATATATTAAATACGTGCATAAAAAGCCTTTTCGATGACATTGGGCACGAGCAGTGAAGCATCAAAAGTGAGATCGAAACTCCGGCGGTCTAAAGTGCTGAAAATACATAACGTATTTTTTACTAGAAGTATTAAATTACGACCATATTTTCAGGTTCTTTTACTAGAAACATTTTAGAAAGGTGTCGTCCACGCGTATTTAGCTGTGTTGCCGTGACAAGTTTCAGCTGCTAAGAAGTAAGTAATTTTCTTAATATATAAAAATAAGTATGAAACTATTTTTATTTACATTTTCCTAATATCTGTTCATCATTTAGCTTATCTTTAAAAGTATATCTGGAAAAGACTCGCAAAATATGGACCCCATTCTCATTCTCCTTTATATTTACGCATTTTTCTTCATCTTTTTCGGAGTTTGGAGCATGTTCGCTATTGCTGCTGACAAAAATGCTGCCGAGACTCGTCAATGGAGGACTTCTGAGTACAAACTTCACCTCCTGGAACTCATGGGGGATGGTTCGGGAGTCTCTCAGCTCAACTTTCTTTCCGTCACAAAATCAAGAAAATTTCTTATCAGATCGTTTTCTGGGCAATTGTCGTCCTTCATGTGGTTGGAATTGTGACGGTGTACGTCAACCAGGAACATATCCGGGAATTGTTTAAAAACTTATAAACAAAATCAACGTATGTTCTGGAGTTTAGGAGAAATCGCCATCTTGTAGAAGCTTACTTATCTAAAAAAAAATAATCTTCATTCCCAATAAAGACAGTCCATATTCTTGTGCATTCCCAAAATTATCCCACGTTAAACTTTTATCATTATGAAAATCAATTAATCCCATTCTGTAATTTTATGCATTTAATGCATGTTTTTGAAATATGCACGCAGACAAATAAATCTTCATAAAAGTAAACCACAATTCAAAATTCATACAAATTTTTTAACACATCATAACTTTCGCTAATTGTGTGCAAAGATTTTTAACACCAGCAACACACCCCGTAAATAATAAGTAGTTATATCAACTCACCCAAGTACTGGACCACCATTCGCCATCACCATGGTAACCGGTCTCTATCTACTAATAAATATGTATGTACAGTAAACAAGTTTAACTTGTACGACGCACTTTTCATTATTATTACACAGTCTTGCAATGTTAATTCCCAGCTGACAAATCACCACCACTCGTCACACTCGAGGTGAGTAAATAATTAAGAAACTCTAATTTAAGTTAAATTATTTAACGTTAAAAATTTATAAGTTAATTCAATAATAAGACAATTCCTCATCACAAATAATGAATAATAACTGCAATTTTTAGGATCCTGTTATTTTCCAAGCCGTAAAATATTTATCCGTCCGAAACCAGCAGTGTTGACAATTCTTCCGAGCAGTACGTAATTCTCCCTCGTAATAAATATCAGGCTATATTTTTAATTAATTAATTAATTAGTAATAATTGCAATTAATCACCTCCTTTAAGGGCTACCTGCAAAATACTCCCAAGAAATGGACCCAATTCTCATTCTGCTTATCATCTACGCCTGTTTCTTCCTCATTTTTGGAATTTGGAGCTTTTCCGCAATTATTGCCGACAAAAACGCTGCCGAGACTCGTCAATGGAGGACTTCCGAGTGCAAACTTCACTTCCTGGAACTCATGGGGGGATGGTTCGGAAGTCTCTCCGCTCAAGTCTGCGTCCACCACAAAACTAGGAAACTTTCTTACCAGATCGTCTTCTGGACAATTGTCATCCTCCATGCGGCAGGAATGGTGGCGGTGTACCTCAACCAGAACGATATTAGGGAATTCTTGAAAAATTGATGGGAGGAAAATTTGATGGGAGGTCATTGAACTCTGTCCAAAACAAGTCGTCTCATTATTCAATAATTTACTAAAAATTTTTATATTTCTAAATATGAACAAATACTCCAATACTTATTCCACCTCATAATGTTTTTCCATTTTTCATGAAAATAAAACAAAATTACCTCCAGTAATTCTTTTCCACCAAGAATTATTTATTTTCACTAAAAATATAATTTTTTAGGACATACGTAAATTTGTTCCCATAAATTTAAAATATGACATTCTCCTCCACTTATTTTTCGTCCACCAGCATAAATTTCATCATGAAGGCGGATAATCTATAAAAGGAAAAATAATTTAGAACGCCAACAGATAATATCAAAGTATTTTTTAGAATTATTAGACACGGAAGTGTAAGAATGACTAATTCCACCGCTTTCATTGTCAGAAATTTATCACAACGAGTCTAAATCATGCCCTGTAGACGCCGCCATATTGTACGCTTTAAACTCACTGTTGCGTCTCAAATTTCCCCCGTTGTCACATTTTTTACCGCGCTTGCACTCACTTTGAAAACAAGAACGGCTGATACGCTCCCAAATACATGAATGGCAAATTCGGTAGTGGCGCCATCCACGATTCTTCCAACTTATTTGCAATCGAAGCCAAGCAAATTTCCCCACATCGCGCCGCCGTCATAATGTTTGCTGGCCTTTTGGTCATCATTGAATCCTTAAATCTCTGAAATTTAAATTTTTAATGTTTAAATTCTTTCATCGTTTAACGGAAGATTTACCCGGGCTTTAAATAAATAAATTATTTTTCAAATAATCCTCACCGCGCCCGTCCCGGTCAGAGAATCGTTGAAGATATTCGTCTCAACTGGCCCCGGGCAGAGCATGGTGACGTGAATTCGTTCCATTTTCCTCAACTCGTGCCTCAAGCTGTCAAAGTACCCCTGGAAATAGAATCTTAATTTGTAAATAATTTACGATACACTATCCATTGAGTCACAAAAATGGCGAGATGATTGTGGATCTTAATCTTTGCAAAAATTTATTGATCCCGCAGGATTCGAACCTGGCGACAGCAAAAATAAATATTTTTGCTTACATGCAGCGCGAATTTCGTAGGCGTATACGGCGTAAGATACGGAATTCCCATCTTGCCCGCCAAACTTGACACCACCGCCAAATGACCTTGACGACCCCGCTCATTTTTGAAATAGTTGAGCACAATCCGGTTCAAATTTACGAGGGAGAACACGTTCAAATCGAAGAGGGCTTTATCCGTGGAAATTGGCGCCTCCTCCCAGAGCCCGTATTGACCCATGGCGGCCGCGTTTGAAATCAGGATATCGAGCTGAAACGAGAACATTTTTTAGGAAACTTATTTTTTCCAAATTCCAATTATGGCCGAATTATAATTTATGTTTTAAACCCTGAAGGTTAAGTTCATCAACTATTTTGCAAATTATACCCAATTTGCCAACTTTTGCACACCATAATTTACAAAATTCCTAAATATGCTTACCAATTATAAAAAAACATTTGATATAAAGCAATTTCAGAAAAGTTAGCGCCACCTAAATTTTCGCAAATCTTCCCCAATTATTTAATTTGCCCACCTTTCCAAAAGTTTTCACAACTTTTTCCAGCGCCTTGGCATGACTGTCGTAATCCACCATGTCGAACGGCAAGACGAGAATGGCATCCTGTTTCGTGGACTTATTCAACGCTGCGCAAAAATTATGATGACATACCATACAAAAAATTAGGTGTACATAATTTGCCAAAATATTTAGCATAATTACCCAGACACTCCCTCTTCACTCTCTCCAATTCCTCGTTCCTCCTCGCGGACAAAATTATCTTCACATTTTTCACCTTCACCAACTCCTTGGCAATACCTGGACAAAAAAAATCAACTTTATAATTTTACACTTACAAAATTTGGCAAAATTATAAATCTCTGTCTTGCATTATTCTTAAATGAAAAGTTTTTTCTATCACTAAATTCATGGATGATAAGAAGAGTGAAGAGTAAGAAAAAAAATTATAGACAAAAAATTCTTGGCCAAAGAATTCAAATATTTTACAAAACAAAAAAAAATTGCTCACCTTCCCCAATTCCTGACGATGCTCCCGTCACCCAGACAACCTTCCCTTCAAAACGAGTCGCTAGAAATTAAAAACATTTCCTCAGATTTCATACCCTTGGCATACTCACGTCGAATTTATGACAAGCCATTAAAAAAGTTTATAAAATTAAATACATGCAAATTCTAGCCACAAATTTAAATCCAAGATTTACTGAAACTAAATTTCATTTTATAACTGCGACAGTAAATCCCATACAGTTCATATTTCATGCCAAATATTCCCCCATAATTTATCACTGCATAAGATGTTACATTATAATTAATTTCGTCAAAATTAATCAATTGATGACCTGTCTTAATTATATAAATAATTAAAAGATCCCCTTAAACCGTTCCTCTTCTATTCTCCCCTCCCTGGACTTGGGTCGTACTACAATTTCCACCAAAAAGAGCAAAACCCCCACCCCTAATGCACCCCCAAACACCGTAAAGACCACGAGGATCTGACTACTCAGCGATATCCTGTGCCATCCCTGCCTGATCGCCAGTCTCACCACCAGCATTCTTTTCGCCTTGAGTAACACCGCTTCCCGATAATTGTCATCCCACCGCCCAGTTATCCCGACGGCCTCAATGTTCAAAATATCCCGGTAAATCGCGCTCGATACCGGACCCTCCACTGTGAAAATGTTCCTGACCGTGGTCCATGTTTCTTCCACGGCGTTACAAGTAATTCCAGGCCCGCCGACCTGACCAAAAATATTTTAAATTCAAACTTCCCGCGAATTTTAAAATTGTCTGTGAATAGTCTCAAAATTTTTGTCAACTTGAACAATTCCCAATTTTAATCATCTTGACCTCCCCTGACCTTGATAATATCTGCAATGTACGCATCCGCAAAATCCGTGTATACCAATCGGCACGCTAATCCCGCTAATTCTGCGAGACACCCGATTCCTATCCCTTTGCAGTCTGTCGACTCGTTTTTACTCAACTGCGGTAAACTCGCCACGTCACCACTGCCAAGATGCGAGGCTAGCGTGACATTGCTCAGAACTAAGGCCCAGTCCGGATTAACGACGCGATACCCCTCCCCAAATAATTCGCGGATGGTTTGAATACTTCTCGGGCGGAGGGGGAGAATCGTGTGGGACGTGAAACAACACAAGTACCACGTTTGCAAAATCACGATCGGCAGAGCGAAAAAGCAAAACGAGGTGGACGACCAGGTCTGTAATTTTTCAAAATTTAAATTTTCCCGCTATCATAATTTACAAAAATAATTTACCTTCCCATGCTGCCCCAAAAAACTCAAAATCACATACAATCCCGCTCCTAAATTCCTATGCGAAATCGCAATTCCCCCCACGACCAGACAAATCGCGGCCCAAACCTGCGACCCGAACGTTTTCAGGGGGAAAAACCAATCCACCTCCTCCAGAGTTACACGGTTCACGTGAATACAGTAAATCAACGACACTCTGTTGACCTGGGCGAGAATAACGTTCACAAATTTCCCGCTGTTTCTCGGCAATTCGCAATCCCTCATACAAAACGTGACGCGGGGTTTCTCCTTTCCCTTCGGAATTTGAAAATTGTACCGATTCGCAACCCACCCCAGGGTCATCTTGTCAATCGGACTCATCTTGCCCCGCCGCCACCATGACTTCGTATCGACATCCTTCCGCTGAAAGGCTGACAATCTACTCGCCCCCAAACGTGGCGAGATATTGGCAAAAGTAGAATTTCCAAATCTCCACCGATTTCGAGGACAGGTTCGAAACTTAGTAAAATCTATTGAATCCCATCTTTCAAACGATTCCCCTTCCGAAAATGAGGATCCAAATATTCTCAAATTTTTTATCTTGTCAAAAAAAACATATTCAGTCAGAAATTAAAAAAAAAATAAATCCCGCCACTTCTTAAATTTAATACCTTTTCCCCCCCAGCGATATCCCCAATTACCAGAATAATACCTCCCCCACCATCTTTTCTCCATAGGTCGACAAACTTCCCATACCTCAAAGCGTCCAGTACAACAAATGTAACCCCTTTCTCCCCAAATTCCGCCCTGGAAATAAAATTTACCGCATCCCCAACTCCTAGATTTCCTCGCAGAAACAAAATTACCACACCGCAATTGACCCTCCCAGTGACGTCTACCCTCTTAAAATTAACCCTCGAATATTTCCCGCCTTCAATAATCACAGGATTTACTAAGTATTCATCGAGATGGACGTTTCCCATCGCGATGACGTGAAGGGTACACTCTTCAGGAATCTTAACTCCTAGAAAACACCCACTTTGTCGGATATACATCGAAACAATCAACACCGAGTATAAAAACATTATATATCGTCGTTTAATTTCAAAAAATAGGTAACCAATTTTTCAAACCTGTGCAATACATTTTACAAAAATAGTTAATGACACCTTTAAACAAAAATCGATTTGCACCTCCTCATGTTCCTTGCATACCACGGAAAATTCTTAGATCAAGGTATCTCTCTATATTTCAAAAATATAAGAAAAACAATCCAACAATTACGCACATTTTTCCCCAGACTGACACTATTCTATTAGGAAACTCATTTTCTAACACTCCTGGAGAAAAAAAAATTTGCAAAATCAATTTCCTTCCTCTAAATCCATCCCAGTGCTAAGCATCCTACCCTAATATTTGCACATAATTATTTTCCAGTGCAAAACTATCAAGAGCTTTCTGTCATCAAATACAACATATCCAGACAATTGCCGCGCAAGTCTAGCCACACGTGAAAAATAATTAGAAATCCATCCACAAATTTATACACGTCCATCTATATGCCCCCCACAACACCCCCCGCGATTGCCAATTATTGACGAAACGCAAATAAATTAAGGTTCTTACATATCGACACACTTTATTGTCTCGGTGTTCAAATTTATTACAGCAGGGTGATTATACCATAAAATTATGCCGAAAACAATTCATAAATTCGTCTCCTGTCTGAATTACCACCTAGTTAAACGACTTTAATGTTATGCTCCTTCACGGCCTCGCTCTCTCTGGTCGGAATACGGGGAATAATCACCTTCAACGAGGAATGC